GATTCTCTAACAATGATTTGTACCGCAATAAAACTGGCTACGGATGTAGGCAGTAAAATATTTTTACTGCTCTTTGCAGAGTAAAATAAATTTCTTGTTTGCAATGTCCGGTCTTTAATCATTGAATTGGCAACATTGCTATGTTACTCGTAAATCTTTCTTTCAGTTTTTTCTTGTTCTTACTTGATCCTGTAATTTATAATCGCTCTAGCTGTCACGCAACATCTTCCGCGTGGAATCAAAAAAAATAATAGCCAATGTGTTCTTCCAGACTCTGTACTACATCTATGCCAAATTTCAGCGAAATCCGTAAAGTCGTTTTGGAGATACCTTCAAACAAACATCTATCCATCCAAAATCTCGCATTTATATGAGTAAGATTCGTAGAGTTCGTGTGTGATTCCACATTTATTCAGGCCTCTTGAGGCTTTTTTTTCTCAAATCATCTTTCGATTAAACATTAACGTATGAAACACTCCATCTATCTAATATTATAAATACTTGGATTGTTTGGATGGATGAATGTTTGCTAGATTCCATTGTATATATCCTTGAAGAATAAACTTTAATAATCAGGTTAAATTTAAATAAAACACTTATTCGTATAACTTTATTCGTAGTATTTATCTTTTCTATCAATGTTATGGTTTTCATTATAGATAATATTCTCTGAATGTTTATCGTTCCAGTCTTGATATGGATCCGAGTCGGTAAATACTTCCAATGTCACCTCTTTCTGCTGTTCAAAATATGTTCATAGTTTTAATAATAAGTCACAAACAAAACAACAATATTTGTAGATTCATTGTCTATGCGCGGAATTTAAAAAAAAAATAGTAGCCTATGTGTTCTTACTGGCTATGTTTTTCATCTTAGCCAAACAACAGAAAGATCCATGGGGCCGTTCTGGAGATACCTTCAAACAAACATCCATCCATCTAAACATTCGCAATGATATTAGTAAGATTTCAATGCAACTAACAAAACCCTTTTATATCACAGAACCACGAATTTCCTTCCTTTGCTTCCGGCGGCCAAGCTAAATGCTCTCAAAGAATATTGGATTCTTCTTTTTTCGCCTTTCCCTTTAAAATATTATACAACCATCAGCGCTTAGTATTCCCTTCAAGGTTTAAGTTTGAATAGATACTGTAATGTTGATCTTAATTTGGTCTTAAATAAAGCATTAATCAAATATAAGCTGTTATTAAAGTTTTTTTAATACGGTTAGGCCCATCGTACACAAAGAGATATAAACGAAAACAGACGTTCAGTCGCTGAACAATAAAGAGCAACAAAGAATATCCTAGATACTGTTATCGCCAATGACAGTCGCAACCTTTGTCACGATCGTCGTGGGAAAAGTCGCTGCGATTCTCAAGGCGGGGCAAATCTACACAGTTAACCGTTTGTAAATCTGCAACAGCCTTGTAGCCTTGCCTAATTGAATACAAAACTTGTCGATGATTCATCATTGTGTAAGTAGCGCGCGCTACACGATAGTCGCGACATAATATTAGTTTCATATTTATATTGCTTTGTGTACGAAAGGCTTTAGGGTTAAGGTGTTAGATTAAAATGATTTTGTTAGTGATTAATTCGTTTAATCCACAATACATGTTCGTTAGTACATTTATAGCAAATTATTATGTTTCATACTTAGCCATTTTTAAATGCGAAATAGTTTTAAACAATAAATAAATAAATTAACATTTTTATTTACATCTCCACCACGAAAAAATGTTTCGAAATCGACTTGAACTGGACAAACAAATTTTTGTGTCGATTCTAATAGAATCGTAAGTCTATAGTTGATTTGTCAGTTTCATGTCAATATTTATAAATAGGTTGAGGTAAAATCTTAATATCGCCACAATCTCCAATCAGGTCACAATCACCCAAATGTTTAGTCCTTTTTGTTGATAGCCTGGAAAGTGTTCGTACATTTAATTCGTTTTTTGTTAATTATCAACTCTGTTTTTTTATCTACAAGTTTCTAAATGCCCAATCTAGTGGTTCTCAATAGTTGTTCCAGTCACAGCCACGCCAGTCTGGAAGGAGCACGTTAAATACCCTTAAATACTTCAATTGTTTAGTCCAATCTCTTCCCATATCAGCAGAATCAACATTTTGTATGTCAGTAGGAGAAATGGACAGAAAGCACCTTCATGATAAAGGATAGCACCAAAAAGGTTCGAAAGATAGTGCCAAAAAAGGAATTAAAGAATTAACAAAAGAATAGATTAAAGGACATCAAATGATCTATCACAATCTAATAACAAAAACGATTGAGAAACTGAAATTTGACACGCAATATTTTTTTTAGGTATAAATTCTTATTTATATTTAAAGATATGAAAAAAGTTCTTACCGTGAGTTTCAGAGACCAAAATCCATTTGAAATTTATTGTTATCTCTGTTTTGAGAAAGGTAATGACAGGGATGACGATATGTTTTATACAAAGATTTTGGTTTCAGAAACCGGCGGTTAATACCAGCACTAAATACTTGCAACTATGTAACTACGATATTTAACTTTATGTATACAAGAATTACTTGTGGAATATCAAAGAAATCTAATAGCATCTTTTAATTCTGAAAGTGAAATAAAAATTCCCAAATATATGACGACAGGTTGAATGTGTTTGAAATTATGTAGTAGTTAAAAATGTTAGCTACATTTGGATATAGTAATAAGAAATCCAAAATACTCATTTTTTGCAAAACAAGTCCACAGAAGTGTGGTAAAAATACGACTTATAATTCTAAAAGAACAACTTTTGATTTCTTTAACATTTTAAAGTAGTATAAATAAGTAGTTAGGATTAGATTTATCTCATAAGTGATAAGAGTAAGAAAACACAATTTAAATTAGCAAATTATTTATTCATGCACATGCACACATTCATGCAAAAAACTGATGAAGAATAAAAATCAGAAAACTGTATCAATATAACATTTACAAATAAGTGCAACTAATTTTTATAATCCATCAGTTTCAATAAATAAAGATTCATGCAAAAAGACGATATTATCTAATCGATCACCTGAGGAGAGAACAATTTTTTGAGTCCGATAATTGTAGCCAATAGCAGAGCTATCTTGGAGACTAGAAGCGCCTTCCCGACCATTAAGTATAAGCCTTTAAATGTCAGGGCACCGAGTAGACCAAACTTCATAGCTGCTGCAGCCAAGAACGGACCCATGTTCTTGTTTCTGGCTCTTCCAGTTTCAATTGCTTTTGGTGCTTTCATTGAAACACCTGGAACGAAAACATGATTACTGTCTTCGACTATCATGGCTAGTGTTATCATATTGTCATCTCTATAAATACTATTGAAAGAAAAAGAGATACGAAATGTGTTAACTAATAATACGACAGTCTTTTGTCCTCTAAATTATCAGGTTCAGGTTCTTAATATCTTCATTAAATTAAGTTACTATTTTAATAGATACTTTTTTAAAGGAATGTTGTAATTTATCCCTGAGGTGTTTTTAATAAAATTTATGAATCATAATTCACGTCTAGATGTGAACGAATGAACGAAGAATTTTTAAGTTTAATTCGAAATTACCTTGTTATTTAGTTGTGATTTACTACAAGAAAAAACAATAAAAGTGTCCCTTAAAATTTATGATTCAATTATAATATATTAAGTAAAGTTTCTCTAAGATTTATAATATTATCATTTTTCAATTTGATTGCACGAATTGAATATCAGAATAATTGTGATTTATGTATAAAAATTATATTATCATTGTAATAAGTTACAGTAAATGTCGCCAGAAATCTTAATCCACTTTATCTTTTTTCTTCCTCCTTTTCGTTCGATATGGTCCTTGAGATATTTAATGAGAAATCTTATATCTGTTCCAAATTTCATCCAAATCCACTCATCCGTTTTAGAATTACGTGGTAAGAAGCATCCACACATCCTACGTAGTTATAGAGCACGAGGTTCCCGTCATCCACATCAATCTATCTACTGTCATCTCGGACGTCACCTCCTTCTTAATCGTGTCACCTTTTACGCTATCCATCCACCTCATTTATAATATTAATAATCGTATAAATATTTTACCCGACTAACTCAAAACTGATTGGTTGGAGACCAAGGCTTACTTTTTGGACGTCGTGTTACTCTAATTAGACGCAAGGGGGTAAGTTACCTATAGCCTAAACAACTAAACTATTTTTGATGAGTGTGTCATATGATTCGTGTTCTTTCCATAAGTATAGAGTACCTTAATAACATTTTTTACTCACCAACTCCAAAGTTTCCGTCTTTCTCTTGTTTACCAGAAATAACAACATCAGCGTTATCTAGCAGTCTATATCTCAAGGAACGAGTGGTCGCGAAGTTCCACAGTTTGTTAATGATGATATCTTGTGCTTTATCTTCTACAGATTTACCAGCTCGCGCCAATGATTCAGATTTTACTGGCATTTTAGCTGCAGCACCATTGCTAAAAAGTATAATGTATTTAAATTTATTAGTCATCATAAACAATCCCAATACCTAGGTTTTTTTAAATAAGCATCCTCATTATATAAATCTTTGTTTAGAAAAAAGTTCAAAACTATTCCAATCATTTATTAAAGCTTTTACAACTTATTTAAGGTAACTTGAGAAGAATGAGGATTCCAGCGTCTGGCCTTTTTCCTAATTTCTATAAAAATGTGTCACTTTACCTTTTGACTTGCAAATACATATCAACTTCAAGTATACTCGTATTAAAATTATTAAAAGTAGCCATTGCGACTTCAATCATTTCACTTGCTGCATACATCTATGGGCAGTTCATTTTGCATTTTTGGAACGTTATTTGACCGCTTGCTTCTTCAGTTAAAAAGTCTAACACCTTCGATTTTTTAATAATTTACCTTTCGTCAACGATCATCATGTCATCTGTGAGCTGGAATGAGGCAGTCTTCAGTATGTTATCCGCGTACCCGACCAGCTCTGCGGCGAGACACGAGGAAATTTCCCGCGCGACGCATTTGTTGTTCAAACTACGTTTCACCGATTCTTCTGATCTTAGCTGGAACAAAGATATAATATATTATTCAACCTTATTTAATAAGATCAGTAACAATCTCCGAGGATAGGAAAATAAGAAAAAAATACAGAGTAACGCTTTTTATTTTTAAATCGAATTAAATCAGTAATTTATGGTGATGCCATATTTGTTCCCGTAAGAGAAAAATAGACCTAAGTGCTTTATTCTTTTTATCATAAGGTGATAAATGAGCAAGTGGCCTGTACTCGCCGAAATAGCGACCAGTGGCAAAAGACAGCGGCAATTACACGAAAGAGAACTAATGTGTTTAAAAATTATAAATGTAAAAAAACTAATTGCAAATATAAGAAATCTGGCAGCTTTTTGCCATTTTAAACCTTAATCCAAAAACATTATCGAAGTATTTAACGACGTTATTATCTCATTAAACACTCGTTACAATTGTCCAGACACGTGAGAAGAATTTAAACAATACCAAATACTTTCAACACAAAAACAAATCATCGCAAACACTTTCACAGTCAATACAATATGGCATTTCATAAAAATAATCATGGGAAAATAATCTTTATTGGAAGTGAATAAGAATCAATAAATGAGTAATTTGTCGATTCAATGTCAAGGTTAAGGAGAAACTCAGTGAAGGCTAGAAATTGAAACGGGTATAGCTTTTACACTTCTATACTTTTAAGGGGAAGACTTCGTCCGTGCGCAATAAAAAAAATAGTAGTCTATGTGTTCTTCCAGACTATGTTCTACATCTATGCCAAATTTAATTTGGATTCATTAAGCCATTCTGGTGATACCTTCCATCTAACTATATACCCAAACATTCTCACTTATAATATTAGTAAGAAGTAAGATTATAGGCTTTTCAATACGCTGAAATAAAATCTATTATGCTGTAATATTTATCTTTGTATGTCTGCGTCTACTTCACTAATGTTCTTCTAAAAAAAATTCTGCGACTGTCCATCTAAAGAGAATTTAAAGTAAATTGAAGTATGAGTTTCCACTGCCGAAAATTATGTCTATTGTCTCTCAATTTTCGTTAGATTTAATGCCTTATTTACATTATACCAGTACAGTAAGATAGTAGCTCTCAGACTCATAATCAGAGCTAGCATTCAACTGACATAATGTAAACACTACTGGTAACAATGAGTCAAAACAGTCCATGCCAGGTCAGCGATTCTGTCCTACTGTGCTGGAGTAATGTAAACAAGATATAAAAGATGTATGAGAATTTACGAAACGTTTTAAATGATTGCAATTCCTTTGAATATGCACGAAATTTGCCAATATCAAAAAGCCCTTCAACGATACTACCAAAGCGCAAACATCGCCTTAACTAGAAGCCAATAGCTCTGGGAATTGATAGCGCTGCGCCAGTATTCCACTTTCCCAGTATAATTGATACCTTGTATAGATTGACTGTGACCTAAATTAATTAAAGAGTACACGTATTGAACAATCTGCTATAAGGTCGACTAAGCGTGATTTTTTTCATGTCACTGGCTACTTGCTCTTTTACTAGTGTTTTAAATGCGAAAGTTTAGATGGATGTTTATAGAAGATTACTCCGGAACTGCTCTACGGTTCATGAAATGCACAGATGTAGAACATCGCCTAGAAGAACACATGTCTTGGGCGACAACTAGTTGATAAATGTTTTAGAAAAAGAAATATTGTTAGACTGAAAGACTAACTTACTACATCTTACTAATATTATAAATGTTTGGATGGATGGATGTTTGTTTAAAAATATCTCCAGAACGGTAGCACGAATCTCGACAAAATTCGGCATGGATATATAACATAGTCTGGAAGAACACATAGGCTACTAATTAAGTTTTTTTTTAATTCTGCGTGCATGGAATCGCGGGCGACAGCTAGTAAAATGATAAACATCACGGTCTATAAAGCAAATGGATTGATAATACAATTAACAGCTCTGTTAATATGAAGTCCGTTAGAAAACACGGTATGGTAGAAGATAATCCGCTCAACCATTACATTTCTTGTATTAATATCCGTTTCCACTGCCGAAACAATTGTATAAGCTGACGGAGCACCTAGTAGTAGTTGTAAGAATTCGTACGAATAATGAAGATTAAGAGTCATTAATTTCATTTCCAAACATCTTACTCTTACTAATACTATTAATGCGAATGTTTGGATGGATGTTTGTAAGAAGGTATCTCCAGAACGGCTGTATAAATCTCGCTGAAATTTGACAAAGACGTAGAACATAGTCTGAACACATAGGCTACTAATAACGTTTTTTTAATCCGAGTCGCGGACTACAACTAATCATTTATAAGGCGGCATAAATCTTGCAGCTTCTTTTCTCGTGCGTTGCATGCGTTGTATACATCAATCATTGAACATAACAGATTCCACGGCGTTTGTTTCGTCGTGAAATTGTATAATTTATTGCTGAACCAATTCCGCGTTTCGTCTGATGAGTGTGCGTCCCGGAGGCCTAATTTAATCCTCTTTCCCTTCCCACCCTTTTTATCAAAGGATGGGAAGGTGAAGTGGACTTTCATTTGCATGGAAGGGGAAAATATTTTCTTTCTGTGCATCCTATCCTCCGTCGATTAAAGGTAGGCAAACGCATATGCAATTGCGTATTTCATGAAATCCCCGTTCAAAAAATATCTGTTTTATCAAAGGTATTGCGATACAGAGATTTTGGCATCAGAAACTAATAAATCGGGATATCATAATAGATGATTTTTTGTTTCGTAATCTTACTAATATTATAGATGCGAATGTTTAGATGGATGGATGTTTGTTTGAAGGTATCTCCAAAACGGCTACAGGTATCTTGTTGAAATTTGGCATAGATGTAGAACACAATCTGGAAAAACGCATAATCTACTTTTACTACTTATTTAGTTTGTTTTTAATTCTCGGATAGTCATGGGCGTAGCTAGTAAAATAAAACTAACCTCATTGTCGACCTCACTCGAATTCACGATACCAATAAGTAAAATCGATAATAAAAAAGCGCTCTTCATTTTTATCAATTAAAGTCCCTCACTTCACTTCTAATTGTCACTTATTTATTACACAGTTTCTACAACTGCACTTCACGTTGTAGATTAAATGCACAGATGCAACGACTACAGTCTTATATGACAACGCATGAATGAACTTCGAGTGGGGTGGCATAAAATATGCAACACACTTGCGTTTATTTCATTTTAGTTTCAAGTGTATTCAATATTTAAGAAAATCAATAATTGAAAGTATAATTATTATATACTACTTACTCTGATAAAGTCCAGAATCATATTAGAGGAAGTTTGTAAGTAGCGCCATTGATCGGGATATTGAGGAACGAAAGGTTAGGGCGTTCTGGACGATGATATAAACAAAAAAGTAATGAGATTGCCTACCTTTAATCGACGGAGGAGAGGATGCAAAGAAAGAAAATATTTTCCCTTCCCATGCATCCTCTCATCTGGAAATTCCACTTACACTTCCCATCCTTTCCTAATAAGAAAGAGGTTGGGGAGGGATAGAGGATTAGGCCTCTGGGATACCCACTCATCAGAAGAAACGCGGAATAGCTTCCACTTGACGCCTGTCTTCCGTGTGGTCGTGGTATTTCACCGGGCGAGACGGGCCAATTCGTGCGAAGATGTTAAAGCGGTCTCTACCACTTGTTTTGTCCTGGTCCCTGTTTAAATCTTATTTTATTAGTTGAACTGAAATCGATAGTATTTTTTTACCACCTTTAGTGTGTTCGTAGTCAAATTGGCAATGTTTATTATAACAGCCGTAGTTTATTGTAACGTTGGTGAATAAAATTTTATGCTACCAATTATGTGATTTGGAAAGGAAAATTATGGAACACTATGCAAATTGGATTTTATCTTTCGATGTTTTTGTTGAAAATGTTTCTGTGTATAAAATACTATGTTACTTCTTACTAATATTATAAATGCAAATGTTTAGATAGATGTTTGTTTGAAGGTATCTGCGCAATGGCTCAACCGATCTTGATGATATTTTGCACACATTAAGTTTTTTTTAACCCCGCGTGAACGGAGTCGTGGGAGACAGCTAGTTTAATTATAAACTAATTGTCACGAACTAAAAAACGCATCAATAAATGCTCGGATGTTATCCTATATTAGGGTTGACTAGGAGTTAAACAATTTTTAAATTTAAACAATTTTGAAGCCATATAAATTCATATTATCATAAATTTCTTTGGAGATAATTTGTTTGTTTCAGGCGTTCATTTGATATGTGATAAATATTTATAGAATCCTTTGGCGGGAATGACGCGTTTTCGTTACAAAGTCAAGTGTTAGATTGATTAGTATAATAGGCACATAAGGCTAGTGTTGCACCGATACACCGGCACAATGTCGGTTTTTTCTAACATTATGTTAATTTTGAAATGCATTATTTAATGGAAACAATGATTTTAAAAAGCTTATCGACAGAAGCAAACTAGATACGAAGTGACTAATGTGTTTTGAGTATTGCAACACTCAAGTCGAGTGTTCAATAAATGTCACACGAGTTGTTTCCGCAATGTTGTTGTCACAAAAGTGTTGCTATTTAAAAATAAAACAATGACGCAAATAACAGTATTGTGTTTTATAACAGCGGGTATGCATTATTAAAATACTCAGATAAAAATATGTTCATCCCTTTCAAACACTTTTAAATAACTGAGATAGCTACATGTTTTTTTATAGATGTTGAAAGTGGAACATATAATGTTTGGAGTACCATGTTATATGTAGATATCATCATCAGCTCACTATACGTCCCCACCGAGGGGCTCGAAGCCTACCCTAAGTTAAGGATGATTAGGCCATAGTCAACCACGCTGGCCAAGTGCGGGTTGGTTGACTTCACACATATCTTTGAATTTCTTCTTAGATATGTGCAGGTTGCATCACGATGTTTTTCTTCGTCGTAAGAACATCCGATAAATGTACTTGTGTAAAACGGAAATCGAAAAACACATTGGAACATGGCGGGATTCGAACCCAGGACCTGCAGGTTACAAATCAAGTGCTGAAACCCTTGAGCCACCGACGCTCTTATATGTAGATATAAAACAAACATATTCTATTAAGTTAATTTTCTGGACTTATAATCAACTAGCCAGCGACTTTTTATGTCCGTAATTACCATATAGTACACCAATTTAGTTACAGTCAAAAATATTTAAGAATATATTATATTGTCGACGACAACTCCGTTCGTGTAGTATTAAAAAAAAACTAAATATTAGCCTATGTGTTCTTCCAGACTATGTTCTACATCTGTGTCAAATTTCATCAGGATCCGTAGAGTCGTTCTGGAGAGACCTTATAACAAACATCCATCCATCTAAACTTTAACAAAACATAAACAAAAAATGTTATTAGTTAATTACCTTATTAAATTGTTAGAAGGTGTCTCCGGAACGTCTGCATGGATCTTTCCGTAATTTGACTGAGATGCAGAACATAGTCTGGAAGAAGACATAGGCAATGAAGATTTTGTTATTCACGTTAGGTCACAGGCGACAGCTTGTAAGATAAACATTAAGAAAAAATAATAATTCATTACCGTATTAAGTTTTCATATCACATTTCGAATCTCAAGAACAATTATAGTTTAATAAATGTAAAAATAAACGAGAGTCAAGTCTACACTTCGAACATGAATTATTAAACGCCGTCACATTACAGTGGGGAAAATTGTTAAGAAAAAAATTACTTTCAAGCGAACGAGTAGCTCTTAATGTGGAAAGTAACACGACATTATTATCACGCGAAATAACTGAATAAAATCGTGTACGGTAATAAACATAGGTTTAACATAGTCTTAAAGAGACAAGTAAATTGAATAGTTAAGTATTTCTCGTATTTTTGTATAAACGAACAACACCAACCTGGATCGAGTGAATCAAAGTTCGTGACATAATTTTAGGTACACACAGGATAAGTTGACATCATAAGGTACCCGTCGATTAACACGCGGCGGACGCACCGCACGCACAGGTAAAACCGATTCGCTTTGTCTTGATGTGAGCAGCACGGATACGGCGCTATGTCAAATCATATAAAGCAAATTAAAACTGCGGGCCGTGCGGGCGGTGTGTCCGCCCTACGGACGCGTACCTTTAAAATTTAATTTGTGTAATTTTCTTTCTTATTATAATTCAAATAAAACAATATAAAATTTAGCTTTCCAAAGACGTATAACTAAATTAAAAATAGATTGTTCACGGAATTTATCAGAATTTTATGTTTTCAAGAAAAGCCGACACAAATAACTGGGATTATCTAAGAAAATATTTATTTATAAAACATCGTCCATTTTTAGTAGATAATAACGATGAACATTTTGCAGAACAAAACGCCTACTAAAATACAATGAGCAAAAATGTTTATCTATCATTTTGCTGTTCTTTTATAATTTTTTGCCTTGTTACAGGAAGCCGAATTACAACATTTTTAAAGAATATTGTAAAAGTCGAAGAAATTTTGTTAATAGGTTTAAGAACACAATATCTATACTAATTTATTTATTAGTACAATCGTATATAATACAAATTATTAACTGTGTTTTGCAAATTACGTGAAGAAAGTTTCTATTTTATATATAGTATTATTAACTAACATAAGCTTATATTAAATGAAAATTAACTAAAAAGAGATACAAAAACTGTTTTATAAAAATTTCCTTACGAGCATTACTTATTTATAATACTATAACATAACCTACAAGTTTTCTCGAGTCTGAAAAACTATCCCATACCAGACAAATATATCAAAAACTCGAACAAGAGATTATAAACTCTATTCCAATGGATTAAGTATTATTGTAACCGTACTAATAAAGTTACATACTTATGCTTATTATACTTTAGTTAGAAGGAACAAAGTCTAAAAGCAATTTAATAAGGGTAACTGCTACGGAAGTAAAGGGTTTCCTGAAATGCCGTTTTGAATGGGTTTGAAAGAAGTTTCTATTTACTTTCTTATTGCTTTTGTTGTTAAAGATATGTTACCGTAAGATTCTGAAACCGAAAACCCCGTTTGAAATATATCTTTATTTAAATTTTTGCAAAGATTATGACAAGGATGACGATATGTTTATACACCACTTACTTTTTAACCGACTTCAAATAGGAGGAGGTTCTCAATTCGTCTGTAGGTTTTTTTTTTGTTCGTCGATACTCCACCCCTAGTGGTCGGATTTTCATAATTATTTTTTTATTGAAATGGTGTTACTTGTTATTTGATCCTATTTTTTGAAACATTAAAAACTATTCAGTAGTTTTTGAGTTATTCTCAATACACCACGCCAAAAACACAGAGGAAAATGAGACAATTTTGCTTACTTCGCTTACGCAGCCTAAACTATAGGACCTACATAAAAGTGAATTAGGAACGAATTGTAGGTCTTTAAATTTGCTCAAGTCTGCAATAGGACATATACATACTATTATATTTTTTTCACAAAAACCATTTGTTTTTTTACTATCTAGAAAAATAAAATTCTTTTCAAACACGTTTTATGTATATGGCAACATTTAATATTATGATATACATAACAAGTGAATTTGGCAACACAAAGACTCGGCAATACTGGCACGAAAAAGCTTCTATCGTAAATGAAGGGGAGATAATCTTACCGGATGAAATGGGCCATTAAAACGAAATACTAATTTAGTAGTACTATTCTTTTATACATTAAACTATGTACATATATTTTGAGGATAATTCCAGAAAACAATCAAATATATAAATATAGCTGTCGCCCGCTGCGTAGTATTATAACTTAGTAAGTAGCCTATGTGTTCTTCCAGACTATGTTCTACATCTATGTTAAATTTCATCATGATACGTTAAGTCGTTCCGGAGATATCTTCAAACATCCGTCTATCAATACAAAAATTCGCTTTTGTAACATTAGTAAAATAAACTTAGTAAGTAGCCAATGTGTTCTTCCGGACTATGTTCTACATCATCACATCATCATCAGCTCCCTATACGTCCCCACCGAGGGGCTCGGAGCCTACCCTAAGTTAAGGGTGACTAGGCCATAGTCAACCACGCTGACCAAGTGCGGGTTAGTTGACTTCACACATATCTTTGAATTTCTTGTCAGATATGTGCAGGTTTCATCACGATGTTTTCCTTCACCGTAAGAACGTCGGATATATGTACATATGTAAATCGAAAATCGAACAACACATTGGTACATGGCGGGATTCGAACCCAGGACCTGCAGATTACAAGTCAAGTGCTGAAACCACTGAGCCACCGACGCTCTATGTTCTACATTTGTGTCAAATTTCTTCAGGATCCCGAGATGCCTTTTGTCAAACTTATATTATAAAAACTTTAAACCATAAACTTTGTTTCGAGCAATTTTTTTTTTATTTATATTGTAAAAATATTCTTAATTTAAATACTATCTAATTTTAACTAAAACTTAATATAAATATTAATATATTCATGTTTCTTATGATATATTCAAAAAACATCTTCAAGAATCATTCGTTTTGTTAACTTTATTATAATTTGAATCAACTTTTGATTATGAAGTTTTGTAATGTGAAAAGTTTTGAAGTAGGAATTCGGCACACGTTTGAACTTTTTGCTTTTCGTGTTTATATATTTTTTTTTGATACATTTTATAAAGTATTTTCTTTTTCAAATAGTAATTGACATACTTTAATATACTTTTGTACAATTTAAGAAACTATAAATTCAACTAACTGCTCTAAAATTTTGGAGTAGAAATCGAACATACGTCAAAAATTTAGTTTACATTAGGTCACAATGGAACGGACATTTTAGATAGCTTTAAACATATTTATCTAGACACTAACACAGTACAAATAGTAGTAGAGTAATTTATAAACGGTGGGTTTATTTGAGGTTAGGAAGTAAATTAGCTCTAAAATGTTGAAAATTAACTAAGTAAATTAAAAAAATACAACGCTACACTCTTGAAAGAATTGAACTATTGGTAAATTAAACTAAAATAGAACTTATCAAAAAAAGTGTGCTCTACTTTATGGTATAAAGTGGCTCCACTGCTGTGTTAAAACAATTATAGCTATCTTTTTCACTCCCTTTAAATAAAACAGAGACAATATGTAACAACATAAGCATAATAGTAGTGGAATCTTACGTTTATATCAACAAATTTATAACAAAACAGTAATGATTACTACATAGTAGACTAGCAACAGTCCGACAGTCGTCAATACAATGGGCAAGGCTCGTAAAAATATTTTATGTCGCCTTCGACTCGGCTTTATTGAATTGCGCATCAAAATAATGGAATGTTAAGGATCCTGCCTATTTGTATGATTTTATTGCTAAGCTAGCTTACTACGTCTTTTGATTATAACACAGTTCTCATGATTATTTAGACTAGTTGTCGCCCTTGAATTTGTCCGCGCGGAATAAAAAAAAGTAGCCTATATATTCTTCTAGACTAAGTTCTACATCTGTGCTAAATTTTAACGAACAACCATCCATCTAACCATACATACATACATCACAACATACGCATCTATATATATAGATTTCTAATGATAACCTTTTAATTTGGTTAACTCTAGAAAAGTTATATTTCACTGGGTTTTAGTTATCCAGCACTTTACGTGGACGTCGTGGAACAGACCCTTAATTTTATAATAACCTCTGCCTCTGTCTCTCTTAGACAAAAATAAATGTTTAATTAACGGTCAAGAAACTTGCCTGATATTATTCGTGGGTAAATTCTAATGAAAATCTTGATATTATCAAAGCATACATATAAACTTTATCCATAACTTAATTCAAATCTTTATGAGCCGGAGAAGTTACTAAGAAGTTGTTATTTCGTAAAGTTGAAAACGAGATGTGGAATTGAATTTTCTTTTCAACAGTTTTATCTTTATTCCATAACTAGCTGTCGTCCGCGTAGATATATAAAAAAACTTAATATATAGATAAGTTAAAAAAAGCAGCTCTTCAAGGCATAAATTCGAAAAAATAATAATAAATAGTATCCTATGTCCGACTCCTAGCTCTAAGCTACCACCTCACCATTTTTCAGGCATATCGGTAAAGCCGTTCTTGAGTTATAAATAGTGTAACTAACACGACTTTTTTTTTATATATAAATGTAGATTATACTTCGCTACTGCCTTTCTGAAAATGTTTTTAATATTATGTTGGCGTAGGAAATTAGTGTTTTAGAGCGTATAAATTACATTACTCCATTCCTTTTTTACAAAAATATTCATTTACCAACATAGAGTATGTATTACTAACTGTCGCCCACGACTCCATCCGCGCGAAGTATAAAAAAAAACTTTATTAGTAGCCTATATGTTTTTCCACACTATGTTCTACATGTATGGAGATAACTTGTAACAAACATCCATCCAAACGTAACCGCTTATAATATTATTTAGTTTTATTAAATAAAACAAGACTAAAGGCAGGCAACGCATCTACAATTGCGAATGTCTATGGGCAGTGTTTGCCGATTTCTGCGAATTTAAGTGGCCGCTTGCTCGTTTGCTACCTTAACATAAAAAAATGAGTTTGTAATTTGCGTTCCTTTCAGCTATTACAATGAAATCGGCGTATTGTGAATTCAGTCAGTTTATTCTTACAATCGTTTGCAATAAACGATTCACTTGTGTGAATCGTGCTTCTGAAATGAGCATTTTGTAGGAAATAAAAGAATATATAATTTCATGTTTTATTTCTTTCAGTGCAGAATAAATAATCTTACAATAATAAAGCTTAAAAATAAAATAAATTAAATTATCTAAATAAATAAAGTCGACGGGCTCGCGCTACGATCTCAGATTTAAACTAAAAAGATTTATTTTTAATCATCTAAAGGGCGGAAGAGTCATACAATGCTTTAAGCTAACTTGACCGATTTAAGTTAAGAGAGTCAAGGAACTTTAAAATTAAGAATAAGGTCCAGTAACTTAAAGCACTGCGACTACTTAACAATAGCTAAATGTCAGATTACCACGTCGCACTCGTTAAACTAAAGGGACCAAGTTGACGTGGCAATCTGACATTTAGCGGTCACAAATTAAAGCCACTTGGTCCATTCCGTCCAAAGGTTACGTCCAGATGTCCAATTTTGTTATTGATTAGTTGGCATGGCCATTGTCGGCATCGGCATTGTCGGGCCGTACATTTGTGGCATTGCGTACATTGGCATCGATATCGACGCTGAATTGCTTAGCGGCGGGATTTCTGGTAAGCCGAATAGGATTCTGAAGTAGCGCGCGAGGTTCCATAAAACATAGGACGTCCCCGGTACCCTGCATAATACAATCATTATTATACAAGCGAAAATTCTCTTTGCAAAATAAACTTGCAAATCTCATCGACAATTTTCTTATTTCATCAGCAGTACAATCAGGTTTAAATACACTTTAAGGGTAAGTTTCCACTGTCGCCACACTTGTATCAAAATATCTAGGCTTTCGACTCATTCTATTTAAACAAATAGAGAACAAAATAGGTAGACTTAACTACAAGTGTGACTACAGCCAAATTTCACGTAAAGATCCGTATGCTTTGAAATAAAATAATTGTCAAGTAAATACATGAAATAATCTACAGAATATTTACAATATACCCAATTAGCTTGATTATTAGGAAACCATCACCAAATTACCGCTAAATATTAAATGCTTGAATAAATGCAATCACTACACAATCTTCAACTTTCATTATTTCCTGTCAATAATGGAACGAAATCATTGCCGTTTAAAATTTGCTAGTAATTTTAATTTTTGGTTTCTTCTTCTTATCTTTGGATTTTATTTTACTTTTACTTTTATTCTTCTTCTTTGTAAGATCTCCAAGATATTGTTCTGTAAGTACATTAGTTATATCAAACATACCAGCTATTGTATCCAAACTATGCATAACCATATTGTAAGCTATAGAATAATAATGCGGTGGTTTTTTCTTTTTCGTTGAAGATTCTATTAAATCTTTAGTAATTTCACCAGCATGTTTGAAAATAACTGACATAGGATCAATTAAGAATTCAAATAGACCACTACCAAAGATACTAATAAATCCTCTGCCAAAAGTAATAATTTTTTTATCATTTCCTAAATCTGATTGATCGTAGAATGTTGGTACTATGTTATTGTTAACATCTCTTTTCGTTCGTTTGTTCTTACGTCTTGTATGTTTCTTTTTAGATTTTTTTACTTTATTATTCGTATCATTTGCTTTTAAAGTAACATTTGTAATTTGTGGCATAATAATAGGTTTCCAATCACTTGTTTCGGTGATAAAATCATTATTTTTTTCTTCAACTGTTTCGTTTTTTCTCATAGTTTCTTTTCGATACTGTGACAAACGACTATTATTAGGTTTCGTTATGAATATATTAGGATTAACAAAATATTTCACTCTAGGATAATAATATGTTGAAGGATAATTAAATTTATATTTCTTTGTTTTTAAATAGTCAGGTAAATCTTTATTCTGCCTTAGTCTCTCTAAGTTTACTTTCAGTTCGGTGTATTTTTTCGTTCTCGGCGCCATTCTGTAATTCATTTTCCTTTGAGCTATGTGTCTCGGTTGAGGGATTAGAAATTCTTTTATATTATTCTCGTCCACGTTAGTTTCGCTGCTGGCCGTTGTCACGTCAGAATTGAGTCCGCGGAATGTTGCTGGCATCGAATAGAAGACATTTGCGAGGGGCTCGAATACGTTTCTTACGGAGCCAAGAATCGGTTCGAGAAATTTTAGTAATTTTGACTTACCATCCCATCTTTCTGAAGCGGATCTTGTCGAGTTTAGCAGTAAGGTCGGCGCTTGCTGTGACTGCTGTGCAGTGACTTCATTCTGATGTATTATCTCATGCGAATGAGACTGGGAACCCACTGCTGTGGGATTGTACATGTCTGGGGAAGCAAATTGCGTGTTGACTCCGTTTACGGAGTACCCTTGAGATGATGCGCTCGGAAAATCGATCGGATATTGCGAGTATAGATATGGATTATTTGGCAAACCGATGCTGCAATTCAAAGAAATTTTTATTGGTCAGTAACTTTATATCTGCATCAATAGTTTGTATATTTAGTCGTATGTCAAATTCACTTCTTACTCTTTGGTCACAGTTTCAGTTATATTCAGTCTATACCAGTCATGATAAAGTCATATCGGTATTATCAAAATGTTGGTGAAATTGATGTGTATCTACATATCCAAAATTTACTATTTATATTAATGATCCTTAAAGAATTTTACAGCATTACTCGATCGAATTGTCTTTCTAATTTATCAAGTCTCTTGTTCATTGCTTCTTGTCTAGATTCTAAACTATTTATCGTGGGTTTCTGAAACCAAAATCCCCGTTTGCAACATATTGCTATTTTTGTTTTGTCAAAGATAATGACAGGGATGGCAATACGTTACTGAGATTCTGGTCAGTCCAAAGGTTAATGATAAAGCATCTACATAGTCAAATGCAGTAGTGAGTCAAGAGTCAGTCAAGGATATTTGTCAAATTGTGAGTACTATCTAATCAAGTGAAGTCTAGTCTAATCTTGTGTTATATAAAACAGTTTATCTTATCTAATATTATTTAATATTGTATGTAAATTGATTTCCAAACATGTGTACAGTCAGCTGCATAAATATGTAACTATTTACAAAAGTCCTGAAACATGTATACGTCTTTGGTTTCAAAAACATATAAGCATGTCTCACCAAACGTAAGTATCCAAGTTGGAAGAATAAGTATACGTGCATACGTTTCTGTAGCTTTATAATTGTATAGATATTAATGCAGCTGTCTGTACATTCCCAAAGTCATATAAAAACTACTACAAGTTCAAACAAATCTCTACTTATAAGTTCAAATACTTGTCTATTTACTTCTATTATTTATTACTATATTCTATTTACTTCTAATACATAACTGTCAGGAAATACTCACCCATTACTGTAACTTTCATATAATTTCTTCATAGCCATGCCTATAGTAACAAGGAGAGCCAGTTTACTTGCGAAGAACGCTTTCATAGTAATAGCAGTAACCAGAGCCATAGCAAATATGATAGCACCAGTTGACTTCATGCCGAATAGAAGTGGGATGACTGCTTGAAGGACCTTCTTCTTTGGTCGTTTTCTCTCTGGAAATAAAAGAAAAGTTATAGTGTTTTAGGTTGGTAATAAGATCATTTTCTGGGGAGACAATTTTTGCTGTTTAAAGATTGGTAGAATAGAGCTATATATCATGGTTTTTTCTAATATTATTTCTGTTATATATTCTATTTGTTAACATATTGTAATGTTATTTACTGCTGGTTTCTGAGTTTCTGGTTTCTGAGAGTCTGAGTTGGCTTCTGGGTTTTTGAAATTTCTGTTTAAAAATATTGTTACCTCTGTTTTGGTAAATTTGATAGGTATGACCATATGTTTTATACAGAGGTTTTGGTCTCATAAACCCACGGTTAATTTAGTTTTTATAGTAGAACGTAGCAAATAAGTAAGCAATTAATAATTTCGATACACAAATAACTTTTAAATGAAATCTTAGTATATTTTCAGTGATAAAAAAGCTTTTTAGTGAGTTAAGGAGGGTTTTATATATTATTATAAAATTTCCTTTATATAAGAGAATATCAAACATGTTTAACATCCACAATCTTGTATGAAATTGGGGGTGTAATAAGATTAGAATTCGAAACGCATACCCCTCGTTAGAACTGAGAACAAAGGTGAGGGTGGCTATTAAACAAGTTACACACGTTAGGTTTCGAATTACGGTTTTATCGGTTTAAAATCTAAACAAAAGCTATCGAGAAAGTGATGAAACTTTTTTTTTGAAAACAAGTGAAGGTGCCATCTGAAGTGAGCCTTAAATACGTTATTCTTTATCAGATAACTGTTCAGTTGTGGAGTTTGGACCTCGGTTATGCCTATCGGTTTAACATGCTAGGTTAAAATTATATAAAACCTAACGTGTGTTGCTTACTTAACGTGTATATTCCGGGAAACAAGCGTGGCATTATAATATATGAGAATTATTATAGCAAAGATAAAAAATACGCTTTGAAGAAAACGTTAAAAGCTCCTAAAATAGCGTTTATCGTTTACTGTATTTGAAATAAACGGTAAACTACATTAGAAGATTTATGTAAAATAAAATTTTTAAACATTTATGAATTTTGCATTATAAGCGACTAGAAATCTTTCTAGATATCTAAGATATCTATCTTTGAGAGCAAATATTGATCGGGCAACAGCTAGTTGCAACCAGTATCGGTGACTCAGGCAACGAGTATCGGTGATTCAGGGGTCAAGCCCTTGACTTGCAATCTGCAGGTCCTGGGTTCGAATTCAGCCATGTACCAATGTGTTTTTCGATTTTCGATTTACATATGTACATTTATCCGACGTTCTTACGGTGAAGGGAAACATCGTGATGAAACCTGCACATATCTGCGAATAAATTCAAAAATATGTGTGAAGTCAACCAAGCCGCTATGTGACTATATTACATAAAAAACTAATAACATTTCTATGAGTAGGATCCATTGAAATCATTGTCTTAATTAATTTTAACTATCTCAAATATTTTCACTGTTTTCTAGTTTAATTACAAGATAGTTAGTAACGGTCGACATAACTTCTATGTCAAATCCGTTTACAACCGGATCTGGGAAAGTGAAGCTTGTTTATCTGAGTGTGGAATTAAATAGTAACTAATTGATAAGTTGATATATCTCGCAGTATATTAGTATAATAGATTTACTATCGTCCTGCGATCGAACGATTCAGAGACATTCTTTGAAAAATAACTTGTTTCAGTAAATTTAATTGTTCTTTATTATGTACAGTCGAATCGGGATAAGCGAGAAATCTCTATCTTACTTATATATAATATAATTATATTATAAATGCGAATGCCTGGATGGATGGATGTTTGTTTGAAGGTATCTCGAGAACGGCTGTATGGATCTCGCTGAAATTTAGCACAGTTGTAGAACTTAGTCTGCAAGAACACATAAGCTAATTATGTTTTTTTTAATACCGCGCGGATAGAGTCGCGGACGACAGCTAGTGAGCCATATAAATATCGTGGACCCATCTAGTTTATTTAACTTTATTTTATTTAAAATTATCTCTACTAAAAGTCATTAAATTAAATTATATAAATGTTTTTAGTTTTATATTTGTTTTGACACAAATCATAAAACTATAAACGCGTAAGCACTTTGTTTACATTAAAACCTAATAATTTACGACTCATTGAATCTATTTCGTTAACGCTTTTGTTTTCAAGTGCCAGCTACTAACTTGTTAATTTGTATTCATTGAGATTTACGATCGAAAGAAAGTATTTGCTAACTAGCTGTTGCCCGCGACTCTATCCGCGAGGGATTAAAACATAAATAGTCGATTCTTCAAAATTCATCTCGAAAATTTCATTAAAATCAGTAAAGCTGAGGAGTATGGTAACAAACATTGTGACATGAGAATTTTATATATATGTAAGGGGTAGAGGGCTGAGATAAGGCCATAAATCTATTTGTCTATAGCTCCACTTTTGTTTCCTTTGTCAAAAAATGAATTTATTGATATATTAGATAAAGATGATAAAATTTATTGGCTTTTCAATTTATCATGATAAATTTACGATTTTGTTCAGTTACATTTTTTGGGTACGAAAAACATTCAATTTCAAGTACAGTCAGCTGCATAAATATGTGTACATTTACAAGTCTAGTAACTTGTATAGGCCGTCTTCATCAAGACCATGTAATTATTGACGGAAGCAATCAGACATATTCTTGCAAGCATATTTTTAAAACCAAAAAAACCGTCCGAGCGGAATTAAAAAAATAAAAGCTTATATTTAGATTTAGATTTAGACAATGTTATTAATTCATGCCAAATTTCATCGAGATCTGTTGAGCCATTCTGGAGATGCCTTCTAATAAATATCCATCCATCCGAACTTTCGCATTTATAATAGTATTAAGATTTATGCAGCTGACTGTACAAAAGTATAACACTATAGTATTCATATTGCAACTCTGTTATGTATCAAATATATTCCATTGTACTAGGAAATACTATCATAAAATTATATCGCAAATCAAGATAGTAAGCAATGTATGGAGTATTTGAACATTCTATAACAATAGTAGATAAGATATGGTAACTATTTTATGACTGGTTGTAAGTGGTCGTACATTTTACGACATTTCGTGTTTACTCGTATTTGTTACATCGATTCTCTTTTTACGACGAATTACTGAGAATATATGAATAGATATATAGTGGAAATAAATGTAGTAAATGTTATAAAAAGAAGAGGTTATGTATTATAGCATTTAATTTGAATATAATCGCGAATATTATTGGTAACATATTTTTAAATCTTAACAAATACACCTTTTGTTGTCTTTTTTATACTACTTTTGAGTTACAATTTATAAGGAATATTCTTATCACCCGCAACTCCATCCGTTTGGAATAAAAATTAAACTTAATTAGTAGCCTATGTGTTCTTCCAGAATATGTTCTACATGTATGGGAAATTTCAGCGAGATCCGTTCAGCCGTTCTAGAGATACCTTCTAATAAATATCCATCCAACTAAACATTCTCTTTGATAATGTAGTATAACAGAAATTATTCTATTTCATGTTGTCATCATCATCAGCTCACTGTACGTCCCAACCGAGGGGCTCGGAGCCTACCCTAAGTTAAGGGTGATTAGGCCATTGTCAACCACGCTACCCAAATGCGGGTTGGTTGAGTTCACACACATCTTTGAACTTCTTCTCAGATATGTGCAGGTTGCATCGGGATGTTTTCCTTCACCGTAAGATAAATGTACATATGTAAATCGGAAATCGAAAAACACATTGGTACATGACGAGATTCGAAGCCAGGACCTGCAGATTGCAAGTCAATTGCTTAACCCCTGAGCCACCGACGCTCTATTTCTTTAATTAATATTTTGTTCAAATACTTTGGCATTTGATAGTTGTACGCATTTCTGTATACGAATTCATCCACATTTGTTATAAAACCTATTGATACATTTCAAGTAGACAACAGAATTCTTCTCAATCCGTGATAAAATGTAAATACCTTAGAGCAAAGACAAGAAAGTGAACGGATCATTCGTGTAAATATTTGTGTTACACGCACGCGAACTTAGAGATCGCTACTGAGAACCGCAAGGTGAAAATACATAAATTATTCGCAACTTGAAAGGAATCCAATGTATTCCAAATTGTTTCTAATTCTGTACGCCAATGTCTACTGTTAGAAAAAAATCAGTTACGCCTCTACATTCTTTCGAAAAAAAGGTTATTTATTATTTAAAATTATGTTGCTGATCGATTGTGAATTTCGGTAATTTATAATCGGACTAGATGTCAAGATAATGATGTAAAAGATTAAATTTTATTTAATGTGTCTGTTCTCCAAACCTGCCCATGGTTCGGTCAGACGCTCAGCTAACTAAAGTATAAAAAATAGCCTAGAATACTCCTTTATAAGTTTGTAATAGATTAAATAATTTGGAAGATAAATTCAATAGTTTCATTGTTGATTCGGAATAAGAAATCGAGACATCTCTTTGTAGCAAAAATAACAACTTATTCGATTTTAAATAAACATCACTAACATTTGAAATACATGAGGAATCTTGCAAAGAGAAAAGGAATAACCTTGGGTGTTTCCTGCGAGAAACACAAATAGAAAAACATATTGCCATCACTTTCATTCTCTCTGAAATAATAGAGATAGAAGTATGTTTTGTACTATTATTTCGTTTGGAAACTCACGTAAAATATTTATACAGCCACAAAAGAAGCGCGTGACCTCATTTTACATTTGTTTTAAAAGAAAATTTCACCAAAACACACGTGTATAATCTTCCTTCTTACTAATATTATAAATGCGAATGTTTGTTTGAATGTATCACTAGAACGGATCTATATATCTCGCTGAAATTTGGCACAGATGTAGAACATAGCCTGGCAGTATACGTAGGCTAATCTAAAATTTAATTTAGATTTTTTTAATATCTCGCGAATGGAGTCTCGGGCCATAACTATTGTGCCTATAATTTAATGGGTTGCGTATATTTAAAATCTTAGCTTGTAAACGTTCTTGCCATTTTATTTTAGTACGAACATGAAAATATCTACTGGTAATTAAAAAACTGTAAAAAAGTACAATGTTTGTTTCACATTACTAACAAGTTCGTTTATCAACAACCTCCCAACATAATAAATGTAATTTATTTCATATTAATATTTCCACTAATTAATTAATTTCCATTACCTTTAGCACACAATAATGCACCAGTGGAGCAATAACGTTTGTGGTAAACAACGACCTCTATCGTCTATTTTAAAACATCATCAGAACGTTTTGTGGTAAGATTTCTAGGAACGAAGGATAGTATTCGCGTGAATATTGTAATACTAAATTATTATTATAATATTTTTAAGTCTTAATATATTTGCATGTCACAAATAATACTTTGAACTTTTTGAATGTATACTCGTAGCTTTTCTTACTGTACGCAAAACTAACTCAATATATAGGGTTAAATTTTGGGTGTATGTGTGTTTGTATGTAGGTATCATATGTCATATCTTTTGTGACCTAATTTTGTCGCGTGAGGGTTTTATTAGATTCAATCTATCCCTAAATTTCATACAATTTAATTACCAAATAGTGTAACTTTAAATATAACTCGTAGTCTATTTTTTTGCTATACGTATTCAAGGAGTTTTTATGTTGCGGTGAATATTAAAAATATGGATATTTATAATTTGTCTAAGTTTAATTTACTCACTAATACGACTCTTTGGTAATTTGTCTTCTAATTCGTCTTCTGCTTTAACAGCTGTCTTCTTTGGGATGGTCTCTGGTTCATCTGAAAAAATAAAGTTAAATTTAACTGCATCTTTAACTTAAGCTAAATTTATGTCAGTTTCTACTATGACATAACTAATCTTATTTCTTACTATAATATCTTACTTCTTACTAATATCATAAATGCGAATGTTAGGATGGATGGATGTTGGTTTGTACCTTTAAAGTATCTCAAGAACGGCTAAATGGACCTTTCTAATATTTAGTAAAGTTGTAGAACATAGTCTGGAAGAACTAACTAAACTTAAGTAATCAAGTTTTTTAAGGCCGCAGACGGAGTAGTTGGGCGACAGCTAGTACTAGATATAAAATTAAAACTTAAGTACTTATTACGGTGAAGGAAAACATCGTGATGCAACCTGCACATATCTGAGAAGAAATTCAAAGATATGTGTGAAGTCAACCAACCCGCACTTGGGCAGCGTGGTTGACTATGGCCTAATCACCCTTAACTTAGGGTAGGCTCCGAGCCCCTCGGTGGGGACGTATAGTGAGATGATGATGACTTATTTACTTTTAGAATATTATCGTTAAATGTATTCCGTTTATTCAGAACAATATTAATTATTTAATATTTCTAAATTAAAAATAATTTTGAAATAGAATACGGAAATAATTAAATGAAATGAACATTGTGATATCGGATATTAATTATACGAACATAAACCACGGTTCCGTCGCAAATATATTAGATTGATATTGCGTTCAGAAATCTGGAATGTTCTATTGTAACTAAATTTAATTACTACATTTCCTAAATATTATATTACTTGTATTCATATTATTCTATTTATCATTTTATTATAATGGGTATAGCAGAAATATTTGTGATAAATACTATCGTATCGTTATCAATAAAATTTGTACTGAATTCGTAACGCAATTTTAGTCAATAGATGGCGTTGTACTACAATTTATCTACAAACATGGCGGCCATTACGTTATCGTTTTTTTTTCATTTATTTTGTGGAAATCGTGAGTAAAGTGGAATGATATAGTAAATTATAGATATACCAAAATTACGGGTTTAAGCGATAAGTATACATTTTATCTATGGTTGAAAATATAATTCACGCAATGGGAAGAACTGAAAGTTCTAAGTAGTTGGCGCCAGCGTCAAAAGTCCGCTGTTATCTGCCAAAATTGTTATCCGTCATTCTCGCTATTTAACAAATGTATTTCATATTGACTTTGCTGCAATCAAGAAAGAGCATTCTTAGCTTGAAAAAATAAACATTTTTTGTTATAAATAATTTACGACACATTACTTATTTCTGATGTTTGCGTGAATTTTTTTATGTAGAAGTCATTGCTAACTACAGTCCATAGAGAACTTTATATTTTGTATAAAAAAGTATTTTTTTTTCTGTGTTTATTGCTTCTGTCACTCTTGATCGTGCTGACATCTACAGTGAGAAAAAGGTAACTTTTCTCCCTGTAGCAACATAGACTTTATCTGAAACTTACTTCATACGTATACCTACCAAAGTCGTATCGTAAATTTTATGATGTCATAAATTTTATAGTCGATGTTTTACATTAAAGGTAGCCGTATGTTATCAGTCGCGGAAGGGTTGGAACGTAATGCTTTTATCGTGCAAGTTTATGAGACAACGGGAGTGAAATACGAACGCATAAAAAACTTATCCCATTGGTTTAACAATGTGAAGCTGAACAACGTGGAAAGCAAATACTCTTAAAATTGTCCACAACAGTATTGTAAAGTTTTCTTGATTGTTATGTGTACTTATTTGCTGTAGCAAAAGGTGGCAAATGTAAAATAGGTCGCCTGATTACGCCGATAAAACGAAGTGACCACTACTCATTAGATTTAAAAAAATATCTCCTTGCAATCTTTGCCAAATCCCCTTTATCCTTCTTATATTTTTCTTATAAGGTAAAGATGGATTGTGGCAGAAGATTTAAGAGAGGAGTGGATGCATATTTTGAGGAAATATGTTCTCATTGTGAGTTCTTATTTTCAAGGAGGAGTCGTCTATCGCAAGGCATCTGCAAATATGAATGTCTCAGAACATCGGTCACTTTGCTATTTTGCGAACATCTAGTGCTTGCTCCTGTACTATAAAAAAATGTGGTAAGGGGAAGGCACCTAAGAATTAGTTCCAGCATACGATTAAGTCCCATGGAAATTCCCCATAAACCATATTTGAATCTTTTCCTAAGTAACATGTAAATTTTATTTCACGATCTCAAAGTGTTTAATCATAGTAAGAATCCTTTGTCTTAGGAAAATTGCTTATAGAACTTAAGTTTCTACTCACATAATGTAAATAACACAAAGTTTTATAGATACTTCGTCTCGAGTACCTGAAGTGACTATATTACTTGATATAAAGTTTACGAGATATAAACAATGAAACGTACCAATAGATAGTTTTGAAATATACAGAACAATACAATAAATGTACGGAGAATCGTAATGGTCACTAAGATAAGCCTTTTGAAAGATTGGAAATTCAGTGATTTCACGCTCTACATTCTGTTCTTATAGTAAATCATCATCATCAGCTCACTATACGTGCCCACCGAGGGGCTCGGAGCCTACCCTAAGTTAAGGGTGATTAGGCCATAGTCAACCACGCTGGCCGTGTGCGGGTTGGTTGACTTCACACATATCTTTGAATTACTTCTCAGATATGTGCAGGTTGCATCACGATGTTTTCCTTCACCGTAAGAACTGCGGATAAATGTACATATGTAAATCGGAAATCGAAAAACACATTGGTACATGGCGGAATTCGAACCCAGGACCTGCAGATTGTAAGTCAAGTGCTTGACCACTGACCCACCGACACTCTTATAGTAAATACACACAGTAAACTAAGTAACTTTCTGAGAGTGGTTAGTTATTTAATAATTCTTTTGAGTTTTTTTTAATTAAGAAATCATGTTTTAAATCATTATTTGAATTTATTTTAGTGTGATTTGAATAAGTACGCTTTTTTGTTGTTTTTTTTTAAATAATCAATAACTAAATAGTTGTGAATTAGTACTAATTAAGACGTATCCGGTCTTATTGTATCTCTTACATGCAAAAAATCACCGTCACAATGTCTAATTTTTATGGACTACTTATTTCAAATCGCGTGGTGGAATCGTGCGGCCGAAGAAATCTGTCTGAATAATTCATATCAATGATCTAAATAGATCTTATTTGTACTAGATAACTACTGTATTTGAATAATTACCGATACGTTTTTTTTAAAACGCTTTTAAGTGACGTTAAACACGAATCTGTATGCTACGTTATTTTTATAAGAAAACGCCATCTATCGAGTGATGTGCAAACTAGGTGTACAAAAGAATAACACTTATAGATTATTTTACTATAGATGCGCAGGCTCGTTAGCTCAGCGGTCAGAGCACCCGTTTATTTAACAGTGGTGGTCGGGGGTTCAATTCCCTCACGAGCTGATACTTTTTTTTCAATTTTTAAACTTTTTTTATTTATTTTTTAATATGGTCTTTCTTGTTACCTTTGAGATGATAGGTCTAGGGAATAGATTACATTTTTGTATATAAGAAGCTATAAGGAATTACCGTTGTCATTTCCTCATCCAAAACAGATGTACAAAAGCTTTTTTTGTCTCTTTTTAATTATAGAGAATGAAAGGAATGTAAATATTAAATTATTCAAAATTTCGTGAGACATTATACTAAACTAAGTGAGCGACGGTCCGCGAAATAATACCAGTACCACTCATCCTGATGAAGGGCCCCCGATGGGCTCGAAACTAGTCGGTGGCGACACCGGACGAATATACGTGAGTGTTTAGCCGTGTTTATATATCAGGAATGTAAATATGTTTACATGCAGTGGAAACTTACTTTTACATAAATAGAATTTGATCATAATATACTATAATTTAGTTTTTAACTACATTGTTATATATTATTATAGTTTAATACTTGTGATACTTGTTTGTTTGCTCATTATAGATATAATATTGTTATAAGTGAAGACTTGTCATTGGCTCTCAGTTGTCTAGTCTATAGTTAATAAGATTATCATAGCTGTAAGTTTTCCATATAAATAAATAATTAGGTACAGAAACTTACCTTTACTGGATCTATTCTCGAACACTTCTAAATCCATGGAATCGTCCTTGTCTTCTGGATTTGATAACCTGAAGGTAAAGTCATTCCAATCGAAGCTAATAGCATGGCTTGTCAACAACCTTGTCAATGGCCCTTTATACGACCTTGATTCTCTCGTCCTTATCGGTTCTATAGTTATCAAATCGAATAACCTTACTGTTTTATGTTGTTTTATACTCGTGTACAATTGCCTACCCAAATGATTTAAACATGTTGCGTTGTCTGCGCAACTCAATTCGACCACCTCAGAGTTAACTTGACTGATCAATAGAACAGCGATTATATAAATTCCAGTCATTTTGACACACTGTATTATCACCAAACACAATGTCACTTATCGTCACCAATCCATTTGTAGGTCACGTAATTACGTACCACCTACATCGGTGGTTCATTCGTCAATGAGACTCTGTTTGGTCCGTTGATGATTTTTATCCTACGTCACGCTGCAATGCTTTTAGCGGATCGTGTGTGCATTATTTTTTTTCGCCTCGTGTGCATGTGTTCCTATTTATTTAACTATACCACTTTTCTTTCCAATATTCATCGATTTATTTGAAAATATTACATACGTTATATACATAGAGTATATTATTGCTAATTCGTTACAAATATTGGTGTTGAAAAAAATGATACGCGTTACGCACTTTACGGTTTCGATTAAAAAGTTTGGTGAAATGATATTTTACTTTCAAAAGTACAGATAGCATACAAAGATTAGGATTACGTTTAATTAATCTTACTAATATTATAAATGCGAATGTTTAAATAGATGGATGGATGTTTGTTTGAAGGTATGTCGGGAACGGCTGTATGGACCTGGCTTAATTTTATATATGTAGTTGTAGAACCTAGTCTGCCTTTTTTACACCGCGGACGGAGTCGCGGGCGGCGGCTAGTCAAAAGTATAATTAATTTAAGCTTGTAGTAATTATTTCAAGAACATTTTCTTTACAGCTTCGGATTTATGTGGGTACAAGCCAAGGCCCATGCCCCGGGCGGCTACTTCAGTGGGCGGAAAAAATCGCAGTTTACAGATCGAAACTGTTCTTTGATTAACCTAACTTAAAAAGATAAAAGTAAAATAAGTGGGCCAGGAAAGGCATTTTTAAGTTTTTGAACACAACAGTCCCGGATCTACATGGGGACAAGGCAGAGCCCATGCCTCGAGCATCAAGTTTAGTGGGAAGAAAAATTCGCAACAAACCAATAAAGGTTTTTCTTGCTAACGCTACAATCGTAATATAACCAAAGTACAAGCTGAATCAGATTTTAATTCATAAACACGCCATCGTTTAATGGACATTATTTTGCTTCGACTGTGTTTGTAATACGCCGGACATTGGATGCCTAGACGCGATTGCTTTGAACTGAGTTCATTGATACGTTCTCGATTTGTGACGTGTTTCGATTTTATTTAATAGTATTCTTGTATAATTTACATACATATTATCTATCAATTATAAAAATCTTACTAATATTATAAATGCAAATGCTTGGATTTATGGATGGATGGACGGATGTTTGATAGAAGGTATCTCCAGAACGGCTGCAGGGATCTCGCTGAAATTTCTCATCGTTGTAGAACATATAGAGACGTAGTCGCCTCATTTCATTTATAAATATAAAACCAAGCAAATAAATCAACTTATATCCAAAAAGGGAAGGACAGACTTTTAATTGACGAGATTCTAGTCTACGCAGATATGTATGTTGGTTTGTTTCCTCAAATATGTGAAAATTTTATTTGCCAAAGAATGTTAACCTATTTATATTAAAGCATATTTGGAGCTGAATTTGTAAGTTTACCGCTGACTTTAAGCACTTTAAAAAATAGTAGACAGAAGTTGGATTGTAGATGAGTGATGGTAAAAAAACAAGCGTAAAAGTAGGTTTGAGGGAAAAAGGGGATAAAATACGACATTGGCCAAAATAGTATTATATTAAATTATTTAAATGTCAATTATAAATTTCTTTATACGTCGTATTTTATAACAAATAGACAGTAATGTCTCAATTATCGAATGAAATGAACGTGTAAATAAATAAATTAGGAAGCAAACGATAAAAGGAAAGAAGGAACAAAGCAATACACGCGCAAATACTCGATAAACTGATTTCCTAGAGCAAGAACTTTGCATCGCAGACACGACAAGTTGATTTGACGATGCTATTCTGTTTTTTATGCATATAAGTAGAATTAACAGTCGTGTATGTTACTGTTCTTTCAAACTATGTTCTACATGTACGTTAAATTTCATCGAGATTCAACCGTTCTGATACTTTCAAACATATATCCAAAAATTCTACTACTAATCCACTGGAGCAGCGACCCAAAGTGGGTCTTGGCCTTCGACACAAGAGATCGCTAAAGTCGCCTTCATATTATTAGTACGAGAGTTTCTGTCCGGATCATAGAAAGGTTATTTGCGTTTAATGTTTAATAGTCATCTAAATTTAAGGCAATCAAAAGATGCTATACTTAGAGTAGGTTCCGAGGCCCTTAATGGCGACGTATAGTGAGCTGATGATAATTGCAATGAATGAACGTAAAAAACTTATCTCAGTCAAAGTAGCCCCATTATCGAGGATGATTTTGTCACAATATAAGGAAAATCAACTTAGGCATTCGACATAAAATAAAAAACAAAACAAGATTGTTTAATCTTAAAAAGGTCTAGTGGGACTATATGTCTTAATTTAACTTGTAATCTTTAGGTTAGTAATTCTATTTCGTTGTCTACTCTTTGACAGAAATATTAGCATTAGTTTCTTCTGTCTCCGGCGCACGGTGGCGTTACGGTTGACAAGGCCCAATCGCATTCGTGCGGACATAATTGGCCCGATTCTACTCAGACGGAGACTTTTCCGGACACGGAACACATTTGAAGTATATTTACATATATCGTGAAGTTAAATAGATACAGTAAATCTTTTCCTTTGCATGTAAACGTAAAAAGAATTCTTTTATCCAGAGTTTATTTTTATTTTAGACCATTTTATATTACCCCTTTTTTGCCAACTGCTGCTTTAAGCTTGGTAGAACATCCCTTTAAGCTTTAGTTATGGAGTAACTAGCTATTGACAGCGACTCCGTTCGCGTGTCATAAAAAAAAAAACTTAATTACTAGTCTATGTAGTCTTCCAGACTATGTTCTACATCTGTGTTAAATTTCAGCGAGATTCTTTGGGATATTCCGCAGCTCTTATAAACATCTATACATCTAAACATTTCCATTTATATCATTTGTAAAATTAATATTAAAGGGCCATTGCCACTACAAAGGGTAAACTGTAATTAATCTTGATTATATACAAAGCAACCACATATGTTTGATTTAATATTTCATAATGTACCTCTGTAACATCTTACATTCCCAATAATCTGTGAATATTAATTTCTATGACGAATGTGTCGCGCCCAATGCTATATACCCCTTCTGTTATATTTGAGACTTGATGACGTCACAATTTACACAGATATTTTTATATACATGAAAAATAATCTGGAAGTAAAGAACATTATTTCCTCCTTAGTTCGTAAATTTCACCAATATGTAAGTACTAGTTCTCGCCCGCGACTCTGTTCGTTCGGTATTAAAATATATCTTAATAAGTAACCTATTTTCTACATCTATGCCAACCAGCGATATCCATGCAGCCGTTCTGGATATAACAAACCATCCATCTAAACATTCGCATTTATAACATCAATAAGACATATAATTACAATGAAAAATTATTTGTCAGTTTTTATCGTCTTAAAAAAATATACAAAATAAATTTACGAAAGTCCCACTCACTATCTGTGAAAACGACATATATTAAAACACATTCTTGTGCTAGCCGTCGTACGCGACTCCGTCCGCGAGGTATTAAAAACAAAAGTAGCCTACGCGTTCTACGCTGTTTATCCATTCATCCAAACTTTCGCATATATTTTAGTAAGATAAGTCAGTCGAATCTTACAGTTAACTTCAAAATTTACTTCAATAAATAACCTTAATTGAATAATAAATACATATATAAATTTAATACATCACCAAAAAAAATCAACATTCCACCATCATCATCAGGAAGGTACCAACATAACTTTCGATTGTCAACAAAAAGTTCAAAAGAAAGAAAACGATACTCGGACCAATGCTATTGTCAAATTAAAAAAGAGTAAATAATATTGAAGGCTTTCTATTGCTCCAATCTGTTGCGTTATACTTTCACTGTTGCGTCAGATGTAGAGCCCGTCCTTGTGTATCTCTGTTTCAGTTTTAAGATCTAGTTTCAGTCTAGAATGTATATTATGTAACTTAATGTTGGATGAAGAGTTAACAGTTACTAAATATACCATATTAGAATAAAATAAAATACAGTGGAATCTCTATAAGTCAAATCTTGATACGTCGAAATCCTCAGTAACATGGAAAAAAGGTAGAGGCCCTTCTTCTGAACTATCTTTTTTTTATTTTAGAACATGCCTACTTCTTACTTATTTAATAAATGCGAATGTTAAGAAGGATGGATAGATGGAAGTTTTTTTGAAGGTATCTCTAGGCTGCAACGAGCTTGGTCGCGGACGAGAGCGAAAGCGTGCCCGTGGCCCCGTCCCGATGCGTTGGAGGAACAGAGAGATTTAGTGGGTATGCCTCCGCTATGGAGGAGAATCCCACATAACTACCGCCCCCCCCCCCAACCGGGGCGCGAAGAACATAGCCAGGAAGAACAGAGTCTTATTAAGTTTTTGTTATGTCCGCGCGGACGGTGTCGCGGGCTACAGCTAATTGTATAATAATATTTAGTTCCAATTCGTTGTTTCGATTAGTATGTATTCTTTTTTAAATTTCTTTAAAAGTTTGTTTTCCAAACTTGATTCTACAACATTAAGGTATTCGTTCGCGAACTAATCAGAATCATTTCTAATTGCCTTTGGACAATTATAGATTTTTGTTTATGTTTCGATAGTGTAAACTCATTAATTTACCTCTTAAACAACTAAGCCGTCGGTGTAATCAACTGCTGTAATAATATTAAATTGAAGTCAAGTTGTTCGTTCCCTTTGATGGAAACTAATGGCTTGGTAACGTAATATCGTTGTCGCTTCGAACGGGAAGCAAATTAAAGTACACCTTTAGCGTATAGCTAAAGTGAAACGTTAAGCAAACTTTGCTATACATGAATTTGTTTGTTGTCATACATGAATGAAAAACAGTTACTACATGACCAAATTATGTGTTCCGTCTTCGTGTCTGTCACACGTAGAATCCTTAAATGTAATTGAACAGTCCCATAGTAGTTCTGACACTAAATTCGTTAAATATTCTAATACTAGCTGTCGCCCACGACTCAGTCCGCGTGGAAATTAAAAAAAAAGTTAATTAGTAGCCTATGTGTTCTTCCAGATTATGTTCTAGATCTAAACCCAATTTCAGCGAGATCCATGTAGCCTTTCTGGAGATACCTTCTAACAAGCATCCATCCACCCATCCAAATATACGCATTTACAACTCGCATAATAGACTAGCTGTGGCTCGTGGCTCCATGCAGCCGTTCTGGACATTCTAACAAACATCCATCCATCTAATCATTCACATTTATAATATTAGTAAGAATTGAAAGTAATTAGGGTATTTCGAGGCCCTTAGATTCGTTTTAACTTTCAGTCCTACCACTCTCACTCTTTACTTATGTAAATAAAGAAAAACCTTCGCGGTTATTTCTAGCCGCCGGCGGAAATCACTTGTTTGAAGTGTTATTTCACGACGACGACATAGATAATTAAAACTAGATGTGGCTTTGTTATGCTAACAGATTTACGTACACATATTGTTTCAAGCGCGAAATTCATGTTTTAAGGTTTATAATTGTACACAAATAAATGTTTTAAAAATATTAAAACAGATAATATAATTATTATTGTATAAAATATTTTATATACTCTTGTTAAAACAATACAGACGAATTGATAACCTTTTTTAAGTATGCTTAAAATCTAATATAATATTTCAACGTAATTTCCGTAAAAACTTTGTTAAATAATGTCACATCCAGTAAATATAATCGCTTATAGCAAACTATTGTTTTAGTTTTATTTGTAATTTGTTTCAATGTCGTCCGTTGGTTTATTCTGCAATAATTATTTTGAAAACTATATTTAGTAGAAAAAAAATATATATATTGAAAATTAATAAAAAATACTACATACTAATTGTAATAACAAAAACAAATTTAATTACAGAGTAATCGAAAAAGTCTCTTTTTCCTATCATAATTAATTATATTGTAACAAAAAGCACATTATAACTATTAATATCCAATAAAAATTCAAAAAAAAGTTGCTAATTTGACTGAAATTAAAATAAGTAACAAAACGTTACAGAATAACCCATATTCTTTTTACTCTCGAGTCGCGAGAGCAATTGCGATTTAGTTTTTCATTTTTTTGAAAGCTATCACTATAAAAGCGTTCATATCTCCTTTTCTAACTTATTGATCGAGCGTCTTTTAGAGAAAATGTATCGAGAAGCTTCCATGCTTTTTACTTTCATATCATTAGGCTTAGCTTCTTTATTGGATGTAGATTTTGACATAACTGATGGTGTTAAATTAGTTAGCATACCAGTGTCTAATAGCATCGAAGATGAAGGTAGATCTTTCGATAATTCGCCATTATGGCGAATGGCGAAATTTCTACAAGGACATGAGTTACATGTTAAATTGCCGAATATAATCGAAAAAGAGAAAATCAGTAATTTATTAGCTGAATCGTTGAAGATTGTTGATGAATCTTACAAGAGTAACAATGGTAAGTACTCATTTAAAGTTAAATTAATTGTCTTCATGATGAATCTCAAGAAATCTTCTTAAATATATGAGCCTCATCTAGTATAACCCGTAACTTTATAGTCATATCTGTCAGCGATTCCATTCGCGTGAATTAAAAAACCTCGCAAGTAGTCTATGTGTTTTTCCAGACTATGTTTTATATGTATGCCAAATTTCATCAAGATCCATACAACAGTTCTGAAGATATCTTCAAAATAAAATCCGTCCATCCATTAATTTAAACATTCGTATTAATAATATTAATGTGATATAATATAAATGAAGCAACTGTTAATAAACTGAATTTTAGTACCAATATGTTTAATACAAATGTAAAAGTTTTTATTAAAATTAAGATATTAAAATAAACAAAAGCTTGCTTGTTAACGAATTGCTTTCAATGACTTTACAAGGCGTTTTTTAAAGTATAAATCATGTTGACATTTCCAGCAACAGGAAGGGGCAAGGGTGACGGCGGAGGAGGGCTGGCGCTACTGGGCCTAATGTTTGCAAAGACCATTGGTGCAGCGGGAATCGGTGGTCTGGGATTATTAACTATGAAGGTACATTACAGATATCTCCATAAAAATACGTTCTATATGAGAAATGCTAGCGGTAGACCGCGACTTCGTTCGCGTGGATTTAAGAAAAAACATAATAAGTAGCCTCTGTTTTTCCTATGTTCTATATGTATGCCAAATTTCATCAAGGTCCGTGTAGCTTTCTGGGAGATACCTTCAAGCAAACATCCATCCATCTAAACATTCGCATTTATAATATTGGTAAGATTACGCGTGATTTATTTGTTTTTAAAGTACACATCCATATCTGAAAGTGTTCTTTATTTGAAAATATATTCGTATTTCCTTTGTTTTAGGTCAGATTAATCGAAACATAGCTATATATGTTTGATGAAAATTAGAGATAGATAGAGTTATTTTCGGTTCACGAAACTTATGATTCCTAAATTATTGGAAAACGAAAATTTCTTAAATTACCTTAACATAGATTATGTACTATTATTAAAATTACTCTCTATGTAATCAAGATCAGTTTAAAAAGTTCTTTTGACTAGAAATTCTAAAGTAGTAGAATTTTTACATACATGTAACTAGAAAAGTGTACAACACTATACAGGTACATATAATAAGAAAAGTGGAAAACATCTCGATGGTCACGTCGCGTGGCAAAGTGAAACGCGTTATTCGTTTTGTTGCGACCGCGTTAGCTACTTTCAAATGTTGAATATTATACATACGTTATAAAAAAAGTAAGCTTTTTAATAGAATTGGTACGATTAGACTACGACAATATACATGGTTCACTTGGCGTTCCATTGAATTTTTCTTTATAAACACGAGTGTTTGATTTCAACATTTATAGCGACATAATAAATGCAGCGTAAGCCGTTGTTTATAACCGTAGAAGTATAAACAGTACATACACTTTTGTCGTATTTTAATGTCGGATATTTATGTCGGAATTTATGTCGTAGCCTAATTATACCTTTATAGTAGACTGTTATTATATGCCAAAGTATGTATTAGCACTTTCAGATATGATCCTATGATATCATCAGCTCACTAGACGTCCGAACTCTACTAACTAATCTACACTTTTGGGGCGACTAGGCCATAGTCAATCATGCTGGCCCAGTGTGGTTTGATTGACTTTACGCATAGTAGTGTTAGTAAGAAAATCCGACACAATGCCGGTGTATCGGCGCAACCCTAGACCTATAACAATATCAACGCTTACGTCCCCTTATTAATCGACCTGAAACTTGACTTGGTTACAAAAGCATGCCATTCGCTTCAAATTATTCTAATTATAATTATCTAAAAGTAGTTAAAAAAGTCAATGTAACATTATTCCAGGCGCTAGCTGTATCAGCGCTTGCGTTAATGCTGTCAGCTATCGTGGGCGTCAAGAAACTAGCGTCTCACGACGATCATGATGACCACCAAGTGATCTACGCAGGGCACGGACATCACCGGAAGAGGAGAGATATAGACACACCATTACCTTACCGAGGATGGACACAGTACAAACAAGAAAATAAATGAGACTTTATCAAGTTGTAGTAAGAATGTTACCTCTTTGTAAGAAATAAATTATTTAAATTATTTATTTAAATCCTCTATTGTTAATTGAAATAAAAATAATTTCTTAATTTTGTCATGTTTTATTTTCCAGTGTATATGCTAGAAACCTTTAAAAATCTGACACACAATCTTTTAATTCATTATATTGCGTGCGCCTGTACTAAAACAATAGCAATTTTGTTTAAATGATTATTTGCATTAGTACTCATGGAAGGCATATAAGCATCGGTCAAGATATATGTTGTTATTTATCTGAATTATATAAAAATGCGCAATTCTCATTTTAAAATTGTCAAAGTAACAGATATGAAGAATGAATTATGAATTAGCGCCATCTAGTACGATCCTCTGCAACTCTTCACGTACTAAAGCTTTATCATTGCAAATAGTTAGTAAAAATAGCATTGGATGTCACTATTTTTATTCATAGATTTACTAAAATCCTTTCTGTACGTAGTTGGAATGGGTGAAAAGACCTTTATTTAATATACAGTTAACTGATGATTGCTTTATTTAATTTATTAAATTACCAACTAAAGGGGTGTCATTTCATAAGTATTTTTACCAGTGACGTAGATAACAAAGCGACTTTGCACGATGAACCGGTTTTTATTTATTTTACTATTTCTAAGGTCCTAATTTTTGAATGAATTTAAGCCGGTATGAGGTCTAGTTAATTTAACTACAGAGTGCGCATAACCGTAACGTTATTTTAAGTTATGTTTTAGAGAGCACGAGCTCAGGTAATCTATATAAAGCAAGTGAGCTCCCGTTCGCCAAGTTTTCTATACCAATAAGGCCATTGCCGGTGCGCCGAGTGCGGTACCGTTGACAGAAAAAAATATTAAATCGCGTATATCATTTTTTTTTATTTTTAAAAAAGGATCACCTAATTTTTCTGTGCCTTAGTTGCCAGTACTTAGTCAGGCTAATAAAAGGTCAAACAGTTAAGCATTGAATTTAATATAAGTTTGTCAATCACTAGTTTATCAATACAAAAAAGTTGCCTCTTTTACTTATGATATATTCTATGAATTGTAACCGAGAAACGCTTAATTTACAATATAAATATTGGTAACCATTTTTCTCTTTACAGATTAAAATATGACTTAAATGAGACAATCTTAAAATATTTTCATCGTCATCTTCATCAGCTCACTATACGTCCTTACCGAGAGGCTCGGAGCCTACCCTGAGTTAAGGGTGATTAGGCCATAGTCAACCACACTGGCCAAGTGCGGATTGGTTGACTTCACATATATCTTTGAATTTCTTCTCAGATATGTGCAGGTTCCTTCACCGTAAGAACGTCGGATAAATGTATATATGTAAATCGGAAATCGAATGTATGGCGGGATTTTAACCCAGGACCTGCAGATCGCAAGTCAAGTGCTTGACCTCTGAGCCACCGACGCTCTCAATCAAAATATTTTAGCTATTTTTAAAACGCACTTTTATGAATTATAATTTTTTGAGTACAACAATTTTTTTTCTGACGGTACCAAGCTATGTCCGGTTAAAAGATGTCTGTTAGAAAATCGTCTCGGCTTCTCTCCCGTAATGGCCGTATCCGTTGAGTCACGGTCCAAGTCGGGATATTCGAGTACGTGAAAACTTTACACTTCTTGTGTACAAAGTACATAGTACAAACATTACCCGTAAAATCTTACTAATATTATAAATGCGAATCTATAGATGGATGGATGGATGTTTTTTTGAAGGTATCTTCGGAATGGCTCAAGGGATCATTATAAAATTTGGCACACATGTAATGTGGAAGAACACATAAGCACTTAAGTTTTTTTTAATTTCACACGACGGAGTCTGGCGACAACTAGTGGAGTATATTTTTGTCATGTTTTATTCACTGTTATTATGTTAACTATTTTGTAAGGTATGTTTAATGTTATATTGAATCTATTCTGCAAGGAAGATATACAGTTGTTGATACATAAAAATAATGAAACTAGCTGTCGCCCGCGACTCCATCCGCATGGATTAAAAAAACTTAAATAGTTCACGGCAATTATTCGAATTTTTCTCACCTTTTGAAACTTCCCTAGACGAACATTTCAAGACCAAGATAAGATAAATCCGTTTAGCTGTTATCGAGTTTTAGCGAGACTAACAAACAATTGAATTATATATATATAGATAAAATAATGTCTGTTTAATTAATAAAAATCATATTTCGTTATCGGTTTTCTCCTTTCTTGCATTGTAACTATTGTATTAAGTTAACAAGTACATCGTACGCGCGCGTTATCTATGTTTCGAGGTAAATCGGTCCACAATGTTACTTTCTATACAAATTGAGACTATGAACCGGATTGATGTATTAACTATCACAAGTGATGATACGGTAGCTGGATGTGTCTTCATTGAGGAGTAGAATTTTTTGAATTTATCGTATGCGCTATTCAAATATGTATTTACCTCTTCAACACATTTCGTTCGAATCTAACGTAATCTAAGACGACGAAATCTTAATATTATAAATACTTTGGCTCACCAGGTGAAATACCACGACCACACAGAAGACAGGCGTGAAGTGGAAGCAATTCCGCGTACAGTCTGATGAGTTACTCCAATTCCTCCTACATATCATCGTAATAATGCGTTTATATTTACATATTATAATAACAAATATAATTAAACATAAACGATCTTCCAAATAATAATTAATATAAAAATTACTCAGTGTAAAGCGTGAATAATTATTAAATTTGAGTGCAAAATAAAACACGTTCATTCTTCATGACAATGTCAAGTGCGTAAAGCAAAACAATTGAACTTTCACTTTGATAAAATTTAAAGGCATCTTAACACAAAATGTTATATTTTGGTTTTATACTTTGAGTAGTTAATATTATGATACATTCTGGATTGAAGACCATGAATGAAAACAATAAGGTAGGGAATAAACAATCTGCCGCCGTGTGAAGCTAGCTTAAGTGTAATTTTTTTTTATAGCACAAACGTCATCTTCTCTCTTGGTTCGTACTCTTTTTTGCACGTCTTTTTTATGATAAAGCTAGCTATTGCCCGCGACTACGTCCGCGTGGAATGAAAAAAAATATTTGAATCTTTCTCACCTTTTAAACCTTCCCCAAACCTCCACAAACATTTCAAGGCCAAGATAATCCGTTCAGCTGTTATCGAGTTTTAGCGAGACTAACGAATAGCAATTGTTTTTATTTAGATTACAATAGTTAATTCCTTTTTTTTAGTTAATTACAAAAACCTGTGGTCATAAAAGCAGGAGCTTTACGGGACTTACTATAGACTACAAGCATTAACCCTTAAATGCATAAAGTAGTAAAACTGGAACATACCATAAACATTTTCATATGTAGTTATTGTCTAGTGAGTGCATAGTGTTGTAGTTCTGCAACAAATGGTTTTTAATAAAAATAGCTATGAAAATAATAAAAAACTATTTTTTTTATTATTTTTCCCTAAATCAGCATATTCATGGCTTCAAAATATATTTTTTCTCGGTCTAAAAATAAAATCATGCATAAAATCATGCATTTAAGGGTTAAGCTTTTAAACTGTAGAGTTTGTAAGATTCCTGGGATTAATCTTCCAACCTAGACACAGGTCATAACTTGCACACAATGTCATTGAACTCTGAGTACTCTTGAAAGTGAAAGGATTATCTCCGAGTGCGCAAGAGAACGGTTAAAATGTTGCTAACTGTTGCCTCCTGTATATAATTTTGTTATACATAATTGTATATAACTGACACGCGACATAATATAAAGAGCAGAAAAAGTTATGTTACAACATTAACCTTGGGTTTCTGAGACGAAAAACTCTGTTGAAAACATAATGTTATCTATGTTTTGTCGAATATAATAACAGGGATGACGATAATATGTTTCATACAGAGATTTTGGTCTCAGAAACCCATGGTAAGTAATAAACACTATTAAACTAACCTAATTCTTTTTTTCTTTGACGTCCTCAGACTAAGTAAAATACAGACTCCAGTACGAGACCCTTTGCTAACTTTCTCGTACTAAATATACACTAAGGGGGACTTTAAGTGCAGGACTTAAGCACTGAAAGTGTTAACAGTAAAAGATTACAAAACTATTGACGGATGTGTGCTCATTGTGTTGTGGGAACAGCCAAAAATTCCACTATCGATGTACGTGAGGTTACTTCTAATGATATCAGCCCCGAGTTCGTATGACTAAGATCCGATTGTAAATAGGTTTATTAAAATTTTACAAATTCCTAAAGTGAAAGTTGCTTTGTTTTAGATCCCATACATTATATTGAATATCATTTGGTACTGCTTCAAGACTACAAAAAGAATCCAAACTCATTATAAGAAGGTATTTACCAGACCTCCAAATCATTTGAAATTACTAAAGATGCATCGATCTGGAAGGGACATGATGGTCATACCAATCCGACATAACCAGGATTTTGAACCTTAAAATCCTGGTTAAGGGTTAACTATAGTTTCTTTTAGTTATGAGAATAGCTTCCTATCAGATGATTTATTCATGTTGAAAAGAAAGTTATAAAAGAGACTATAAAACAACGTTATATTTTCCCAAGCTTGACTGAGACAGTAATCAGTAAATCGCACGACCTCGACTAGTAACCTGGATATCATTATGATGTCTGCTCCCACGTCACGAAATACTAACTTACAAACTTACATACCGATAATGATAAATTGCTACTAACCAAATGAAGGTTAGCTTGGTATAGATGCAGGGAGATGATAGGCCTATCCCGAACCTGAATTGCACGGTGTCGTCTCGGACTAAGGGGTCATTTCTCGGGTTAGTTAGTGGGGCGACGCGATAAATCTCCGAAACGGCTGGACCAAATTTGATAGGACCTTGCCTGAGAGCTGGTTTCTGCGGGAATTTTGGCTTCTTTTTTAATTATTTTGACGAAGTTGAAGGCGAGTGCTAGTCTTATAAGAATCAATGATACTACAAAGGTTGTATTTTAGTACCCAAGCTAAAATTGCTTTAAGATCTGAAATTTGAGTAATTAAACAATTAAGAATTATATTTCGAAGAAATCAAGTCAGTAATCATTTTAATATGCAATAATATATCCGGTAAGCAGTCACCAGCCGTGACGAAGACAAACTTTTACTTCAAGTGTTTACGCTCTCTCAATATTTGAAGATAATACATTCTAAAAATGTAAGCTGAAAGTTAGGATGCATTTAGTTGTTTTAATTAGTACTAGAATATAATTGCAAACATCTCCATAAACATTTTTGTTACTTTTATGTACGTTCTAGACGCCCGCGACTCCGTCTTTATGGAATTTAAAAAAGTTAATTAATAGCCTTTGAGTTCTTCCAAAATAAGTTCTACATCTATGCCAAATTTTATCAAGATCGGTTTTGTCTTTCTGTAGATATATTCGAACAAACATACATCCAATAGAACATTCGCATTTATAATATTAGTAAGAAGTAAGATGTGAAAGGAATAAGCGCCAAAAAATATGTTAAAACGTCATCAAAACTTGATAATCTTACTAATACATTACGAAATTATAAATGCGAATGTTTTTATGACAAGATGGATGGATTGATGTATGGATGTTTGTTCGAAGATATCTCCAGAACGGCTGAACAGATATCGATTCAATTTGGCATACATATATAACATAGTCTGGAAGAGCACATAGGCTACTAGTTTTTTTTTAATTCCGCGCTTACGGAGTCGCGGGCGACCGCTAGTCAAGTGATATTTTCCTATGCCCAAAAAATATTCTTTAAATGTAGATGTGTGTCACTCCAGAAAATGTATATGCAAAATTCTATAGTAATCCATTCATTCGTAAGAAAAGAATGATTCTTTTTATTTTTAATCTACATTATTCAAGGTTTAAGCCGACGACAGACTATAAAATAAGACCTAACAGAGATACGGCCTTCACTTTGTTGTATTTTGTTTGATTCTCTGCTGACACACTTCGTGACTGTGTTCTTTTACTATTTTTGTTAATTATGACAATTTGTAGAGCGAGCTATGTCTTATACAATAATATGTAATAATATATAATTTTCTTATAGCAACTTTGATATGTTTTAAATGGCCTTTTTTTAGGTCTATTTTGTTTTTGGACTTAGATACTCGGTTTTTTAGCCGATTTAAAAATGAAGGAGGTTATTAATTCGTCTGTATTTTGTATGTGTGTGCGTAAAAAATTAATAATGATCTATACTTAAAGGTTCGTAAGTAAATCCTATGTAAATTTTATGTTTTTTTCCTATAGAGATTTTTTTTGACAAAATGATCAAGGAAATAAGTTTTTTTTTAAATATAATTTGTTTTTTTTTCTTTTTATGTCTCCATTTTCTTTACGTAATAATTATTTTCAATTTATATCTTACTTCTTACTAATATTATAAATGCACATGTTTAGATGAATGGATGTTTGTTTGTATATCTCCGGAACAGCTCAACGAATTTTGATGGACTTTGGCATACATGTAGAACATAGTCTGGATGAACACATACGCTACTAATTATGTTTTTTTAAATCTTTCTATCTATGGTTACTCCATAGTAGATAGTGTTGGTATAATTCGATGTACTACAAACTTTCATAGCAATACCTGACTGCAAACGGGTTCTATGAATTTCTACTCCGAGCGATCTGTTACATACAACTCTTTTTTTTATCGTAAACGGGAATAAATTGCTTTTAATACAATTTTCTAGCTGTATTTTCTAAAAATTAAATACTTAACTTACATTAAACATATAACAATTTGAATTAACTGCAATGAAAGTGGATTTCAAATTTCTATTCTTTTTTTTAAGGGTTGCCATATTGTATTTCACTGTATGTCTATTAGCTTGAACCAAATCTTTTTTTATTAAAATCGTTCGAGACGAGAGAGTTCGTTTAAAATGGCAAATAATATAATAATAATAAGCCTTTATTCAGATACTTGAAATTACATTATATTTATTTAAAACTAGTTGTCGCCCGCCACTCCATCTGTGCGGAACGAAAAAGACGATAGTCGATGTGTTCTTTTAGACTATGTTATACATCTCTGCCAAATTTCAGCAAGATCCATTCGACCGTTCAGAAGATACCTTCAAACAAACATCCAAACATTGGCATTTATAATATTAATAAGGTAAGATTTTTGTATCCGTTTGTCCCGTGTAGATAAATGTCTCTTCCAGATTCTGACATTCTTTTCATATTTTTGCTTTCCTAGACCAGGCCTGTCCCAAATAATAAAAGCATCAAAAATAGTAAGTATAAGGTGTTGGTGTTGTAGATTTAGTATATAGTTTATAGTATTATTTTGGTAGTTTAATTAATTAGTCATTTAATTACTGTAAGAATGTAAATATAATTTATTTTATTTTACTTCAAATTTAATATATTCTTAGGTGATGAAATATATCAGATCTAATCTATCTGAGATAGCTCTACGGATAGCAAATTGAACGGTTAATGTCAATACACAGTTGATTGCTTATGACTTTAGCCTATTCATCATCATCATCACCTATCATTCAGTCTATTTATAGATAAATATAAGTTAAATCAATAGTAATTAAGGTCATCTATAAACACCATTCCTGGTTAATGGCTATCACTAGATTTGTGACGAAATTTGGCATACACATAAAACGAAGCCTAGGTGTTCTAGGTTACTAAATATTTTTATAATTTCGCGCGGGCGAACTCAAGGGCGACAGCTAGTACACATATACAAGTTTCAAGTTCACGATCTTCGCAATGACCGTTTAAATTCTCAAGCTTTCACGTAACCCAGTATTATGAAACCTGGACTTCACTTTTACTTCCAGACTGAGAAAGTACATGATTTCGGTGAGTTTTTTAATCGACGTACAGCCTCCTGAGGGGTGCGGAGGGGTATTTAAGGTTGTTACATTCGCGCCGGCGCACAGTCTCAGTACAGACAGCTTACAATGTGGAGGACTTGCGCGATATTCGCCATCATTGCCGCGTGCGTCGCGCTCCCCGCACAAGACACAGGCCCCACAATAAACGACACGGAAAGCATCACTGATTGCCTTAAAAAAGAATCAACATCATGTTTAAAATACAAATTCTTCTCGTACCTAGACAAAGTCATCGGACAAAAGGAAACCTTCCCGTTATCAGATGGAGTCACAGTTGTAAGAGCTAATGATGCGCCAGTGGATTTCGGAGCGCCAAGATCATTAGATCCCGTTTCAAGATTGAAAAGATATTTGGAAACTCACGCGATTCGTGTTGAAGTCAAAGGTTCGGATGTTATCGATGCGGTATCCAGTGCGGGACGTGCCTTCGAAGATACAGTGTCGAGTTTAACAGAAGATAATGAGGTCACGGAAGAAGGAAGAGGTAAGAAGAAGAAAGCTGCTAAAATCTTCGGACCGTTGATCGCCGCTGTGATGTTGAAGATGATGGCTATACTGCCATTAGCGATTGGAGCGATTGCATTGATAGCAGGGAAGGCATTGTTAATAGGAAAACTGGCATTAGTTCTCTCCGCAGTGATAGGATTGAAGAAATTGCTATCACAACAGAAGCACGTGACTTATGAGGTGATTGCTCATCCACATCATACATCCAGTCACACATCAAGTCATGATTATGGCGGTACAAGTGGCTACGGAGGTGATACTGGTGGTTACAGTAGCGGTGGAGGTCATGCAAGCGGATGGGGACGTTCCATTGAATCGCAAAGCTTAGCATATTCCGCGCAAAAACCTCAATAGCTCGCCCCAGTTCAATGACCTCGTTCCCGTGACGATTTCTCTACGTCCTCTCGATGTTTATTTATTGTTTGTTGTGTGAATGTGTTTTGATACAGTTTATTTATTTTGACTGATTATTTAAGCTTTCAATTATTTGCCATTGATAGCAAAAGTCACTATTCTCTTCTTGGTATGCCTTATAGGCATTTTGTAATTATATTTATAGTATATTTTATATATGTAGTAATTTTATGTATTATACGCCTAAGATTATGTACAATTATTTAGTATCTTAATTTATGTATAGCAATAGTAGCGTTTATATGGTTTCCTTGACCTGTACTTGGCTTTAATTTTTTAATTACAATTTAAGTATATAGAAGACTTATTTATTATTATGTACAGCTAATTATTTATACATTATATCTTATATACCTTTCCACGGGTTGTATTTGCAAAGATTTTCCTTTAGTAATTATTTTATTGTATTTTTGTTGCATTGTTTAATGTTATTTTTTTGCATTTTTTTTGTACAAATTTATCTTATTAAATTATTAATTCATGTTGTGTTTTTTAATTATATGCATATGTTGCTTATCGTTATAAACTTTGTTCCACTTTTTTTAAAATTGAACGAATAGACAACCGTGTTGGATACGAATTATGTTAAGAAGTGCAAAAACTTTTTTTTTTAATTTTAAAATTAAATATTCTTTTATTAAGAATCTGTGATTAAAAACTTCGACTAATAATACATTAAGGAATAATAAACCGTATTTAGTATAATATATTTTCGACAGTATTAAAAATTTCATAATCATCATCACCTCACTATACGCAGTTGAGTAATTCGGAGCCTACCCAAGTTAGGATTGACTAGGCCTTACACTTTCTTCTGTGATATGTGCAGGTGCTCTACGATGTATTCCATCATCGTAAGCGTCGGATAAATGTACATCATGAAATTCTCATATCGAAAAGCATACGGGGATTAAACTCGGGCGTACACATTTCGGTACGGTCCGGTAAGTGCTCAACTGCTCCCAGACGCTCATCTTTACATTCACTTTTTCCCGAAATTATGCACAGATCTACTAAGTTCATTTAACTTTCCTAATTTTAATACATTAACATATAAACAACGTCTAACGTGCACTTGTTGTGAGATAGAGAAACTTGATAGTGTGCATGTAATTTTATACGTTAGCATTAATTATAAGGTTTAAGTTATAAAAGATAACATTACGTGTATTTATATATTATTAAAATTGGAGTATCTGTATGTAATATTGAGAAAAAAAAACTCATTTCATAGATGTAATTTGCTTAGCTATTGACGAAAATTTTTTGTCTGTCTTTCTGTCTGTCTTCAAATCCGTGTTTGGTCCGATTTGACTTCGTAACTCCTGGTCCTATATTGAATGAATTTTGAGGGAACTATAGTTTTGCATTTTGATATATTATAATATACAATTTAAATAGTTATAAAATAAGAACGGATCCTTTAGCTTACTGTAACAAATTGCATTTTTGTATTTTCAACATTATTATGCTTACTAATTATTGAATTAAAAAAATGCTATACTTAATTTCACGCTAAAATTTTCGTTGTTACAACAGCATTACTTATTCGTAACTTGGTGCGTTATTTTACGCTAAGTTAAGTACAATATGGGCAACGTAAGTCAAATGAGAAATCTTAATGCATTATCTAGAAACTCGGCTCGTTTATCTGATAGCGTAAACATCCGGTGCAGTGAACTACATTCGCAATCAAAGTTAAGACTATATTTTATATAAGGACGGTTAGGTCTCATAATTTTTTTATGTACTTATTTAATTTGGTTTAAACGACGCTATCTGACAGGTCCTATTATTAATCACGCTAGATCAAAGAACATAAATATAATTTTATAAGATATATTTCGTACAAAAGTTCAAGCTACTTTTAGTAAAAATATAGCTTAGCCTGAAATCAAACATATGTGCTGTCGAAGGATTTCGATAATTATTACAGTAGTTTTTAAAGCTACGCATCCATAGCGCCGTACGCACCGCAAGCACGGATTAAACGAATTTGCTTTGTCTTGGTGCGGGCGCTATGTAAAATCATACAAAGCAAACTAAAATCCGTTACAGGTATCTTTATTTACAACCTGTAAATGTATTTAATCGCCCCCATACATACACTTGGACTATACAGAGCTTTCCTTATTTCCAGGTCGTCAGTTCGCCCTCTAGCTAGAGAAAGGTGAGTCAGTGAAATCATCAGATCCGTCACGTTATTTTATGAAAAGTATTTACGACTCGTGTGGTTCTCAAATGTCAACTTGCGGTCAACAATTCTTCATTGTCAAGTTAATCATACCGTGGGTTTTCATTGCCGAAACATTTGCATAAAAAAACACATATTATTATCCCTCTCATTTACTTTTAAAAAACATAATAGTGTATAGATGTTTTGACAGTGGGAACTTATGGTTACGAAATCTATTCGAAACTTGTTTTTTTATGTTAGTTCGATAGTTAACTAGCTGTCGCCCGCGACTCTGTCCGCGCGGAATTAAAAAAAAACTTAATGAGTAGCCTATGTGTTCTTCCAGATTGTTCTACATCTATGCAAAATTTCAATGATATTCATGAATCCGTTCTATAGATACCTTCAAATAAACATCCATCTATCCATCCAAATATTCGCATTTATAATATTAGTAAGATAAATCTAAGTTACCTAACGATACAATATTTCGTTTAATTATAAAAGAATATTTAAAAAGATAAAATAGAAATAAAATTTATTTTAAAAATAAAATAAGTTAGTAAAGTACTATTCAAACCTTATCGCGGTGTTACAATTTGGCATGCGGCACTAAACAAAATTGTTGAGCACACTACTTCGCGTCTTTTCCACTAACCGATTCCCACTTGTGAAGACATGCGCTAGTAGCTCACAACAACATAAAGTTGAATCTTGTTATACATGACTTTGATTCAAGTTGTAATCGTAGAGAAAAGAAAACGTTATGTTCTCAAAGGAGGCCAGAAAAGCTGGACTTAACTCTACTATTTATGGTAGTTGAAGAGAAATCATTATTTTCACTAACAATATATACAATAAACAAACAACAAGATGATATAATAAGAGATTAAGAATTGTTAACACTTTTGATTGAGCGTCGGTGGTTCAGTGGATAAGCACTTGACTTGCAATCTGCAGGTCCTGGGTTCAAATCCCACCATGTACCAATGTGTTTTTCGAGTTCTTACGGTGAAGGAAAACATAGTGATGCAACCTGCACATATCTGAGAAGAAATTCAAAGATATGCGTGAAGTCAACCAACCCGCACTTGGCCAGCGTGGTTGTCTATGGCCTAATCACACTTAACTTAGGGTAGGCTCCGAGGCTGTTTTTCCATTAAATTTTTTAATTACATGAGAACGGAGTTGCGGTCGACAGCTAGTATGTGTAAGCTTGTAATTTGACACCAAGAAGTGAAACTAAAATTAAAAAAAAAACACAATTACGCCATCTCTTACACAAAGCGAACAATAAAACAAACTCGTAACGTAAGCTTTGCCGTATTTTATGAACGAAACCATAAAGAGATGTGTTGATTCTCTTCATTCATACAATTTTATTTCACAACAATGTGTGAATTAAATTATGTAAAAAATTGTTACTGAATTCTGAGATTTATTCCACCGTTTTATAATTTTTCTTTACATAATATCACACAACCAATGACATTTAAAGTTATTGCTAGTTACAATTAAATACGTTCAATTGAACTATATTTGATTAAGAATTAATTATATTAAGTATATAAATAAAGATCTAGAAATATTCTTTCTTCAACAAATTCAAAACAGCAGTACTAAAGTCAATATAAAGTTCATTGCCGCGACGCCAGCGCTCTTGTCCTTTCACGGCGACACCTTGAACTTAACTCGACGTTCATTCATAAGCTTACCACGTGTAGAAACGTAAACAAAAACGACCATGAACGTAGTTTAACATATCTCGTGTAGATGGCGCTGTATTTCGTAATATTTTATGATGTTTTTTTACGTCTGATTTCTTTACAGTAATTGAGATAGAGAAGTAGAGAAAAATGTAGAGAAAAAAGAGATATCGTGTTGCATAGAGGTTCAGTTCTGCGACTTTTCTTCTATTAAACTTCTTTTAGATATAAAAACTTTAGACTGGAGGTTAATAACGGTTTTAGCTTTTCTAGTATCCTGGGCGAAATTTCTACGGTGTCTTCTTCTACCATGACTTTGAGAGAGGAAGTGATTTAACAGGGTTATGGGAGACTGTTTCGCAGATCTGTTGTGCCCCTTTCGGACCACCCTTCATGTTTGCTACGTTTGAAGTTTCCTAAATTTTACAAAATTATTAAAAATAAACAAGTCCAGTTGTAAAGAGTGCTAAAATATTTTATGACAATCTACGAGAAATGTATAAATTTGAGGAACGGAGAATTTACTGCTAATTAGTACCCAATAAACTTAATTTAAGCTCGATAATTGTACTTCACACAATAATTAACTTTAACCTAATTAATATTGTAAATGCGAAAATTTGGATGTTAAGACGGATGATTTTTAAAAGGTATCTCCTGGGAACGAGTGGACTGGATAGTCTGGAAGAAATTTTTAAATGCGTTACAATGTAATCTTTAACATTAGCTAGTTATATTTTAGTACTAAAGGATGTACGATTTGAATGGTTTACCTTATCAGTATGCATGAGTCGAGTTAACCGTTGACTTGGTAATTTAGTTAGGCGCGGCTAATCAGGTTTATTGTAGGTAACCGTGTTTTGTTAAGAATGTCTATAAGTAACACAAAATATATATACGGATTTTTCTCAGATTAAAAATAAGAAAATAAATTGAAAGCTATAACTGTGATCCTAATTTTTTAGAACTCCGTGGTTTTTTTTTGGACTGTTTTTCAAGCTAATGTTTTTTTTTTTGATTAGTTAAATAAGTAGTTTAAGTTTCTCTTTTTTGTACGGATATTATTGCATCGACCATACTTAATAAAACGGTCGGTGGCTCAGGAGTCAAGCACTTGATCTGCAGGTCCTGGGTTCGAATCCCGCCATGTACCAATGTGTTTTTCTATTTACATGTGTACATTTATCCGACGTTCTTACGGTGAAGGAAAACATCGTGATGCAACCTGCACATATCTGAGAAGAAATTCAAAGATATGTGTGAAGTCAACCAACACCCCCCTTGGCCAGCGTTTTTGACTATGGCCTAATCACCCTTAACTTAGGGTAGGCTCCGAGCCCCTCGGTGGGGACCTAAAGTGACCTGACGATGACTTAATGAAAAATAGAATTTTTCTTAAAAATACCTCTGTTATTTCCGTTATTAAATTTGTTTAATAATTGAGATGTTTATTTTTTTAAGCGAAATTGGTGACCCCTTGTATATAACGAAGTGAACATAAACTAAACTCAACGATTGAGGTTTATCACATTTGTAAATATGTTAAACGGAAACGCATACCTAGACCTACGGCCTTGCATCTAGGTCACACTTTGTATGACGCAACGAAAGGCCTTTAACGTGGAATTCACTTTCTTCCATTCTCAAACCTAATGTATTGTGAATTCACAATCAATAGAGAAAAGCATTGAATTATCGAATACTCTATTAATGTAATATCATAATTATATTTCGTTTCTTATAATATACTAGCGATTGCCCGCGACACCGTCCGCGTGGAATTAAAAAAGTAGCTTATGTTTTCTTCCAGATTATGTTTTACATCTATGCCAAATTTCAGCGAGATCCATGCAGCCGTATTGGAGATACCTTCTAGCAAACATCTATCCATCCATACATCTAAACATTTGCAATTATAATATTAGTAGGATTAGAGATATATACCGCAATTATAATTTGTAAGTTGGCGAAAGCTTCCTGACCTTTGGCAGGTGAAAACTTTCTCGCCATTGGTTGTTCATTAAGATTAACACTTGGCCTTATAATATGGTCATAAGTACAAGATTTTCTCTTAGAATTGTATACAATTTAGCAACTAATAGCCATATTATACGTATTATATGAATATCTATTACCTTTGCGTTTTTTAATCTTAGTTAATTCGAATTAATATTAGATAGGTTATATTTATCTAACACTTACTGTTGCCCACAACTCCGTCCGCGCGGAATTTAAAGAAAACTTAATTATTAACCTACCTAGTCGTCAAGATTGTGTTCTACATCTATGCTAAATTTTAGCAAGATCCGTTTAGTGTTTCTGGAGATATCTTCTAATAAATATCCATCTACGCATACTTTTAAACATTCACATTTATATTATAATATTAGTAACATAGTAAGTTGTACTGCATATTTCAAAACCTTATAAAAATTTGCATTAGCAAAATCGATTATCAATTGAATCTCAAATATAAAATTCTCGTATCACAATGTTAGTTACCATACTCCTCCGAAATGGCTTGATCGATTTTTATGAAATTTTTAATACAAAATTTAGATATGAGAATCAGCATCTATTTTTGTAATCCCGCGCGGACAGAGTCGCGGGCAACAGCTAGTACAATATAATAATGGAAAAGGTGTTGTGCTATTTTCTATTTTTTTTTCTGAGTATTTCACCTTTTTATATAAAATTTTACTTAGCTGTAACAAATGTAGAGTCCTTTAGTTCTGGTTTACAAATTGTAATCCGTACTAAGTATTGTTTAATTGACCAATAAGTTTCACTGATTATGGAAATAAGATTGTTTCAATTTAACGGTTACTTGGTAACCAACATCATCATCATGATCGGCCTAGATTCTTCCACTGAATGTAGGCCTCCCCATCGATTGCCACAATGCCCTGTGCCGCCCACATCCAGTGCACTCCCGCAACCTTGACCAGGTCATCACCAATCAAGGTTTCTTACCGGAAGTCAAACGGATATCGAAAAAAACAAAGGAGTTTATTTAAAATATTTATTTCTTGATATTTAAATGACTTTAGTTATTATGTTAATTTAATAAAAAATAATTTATGAATGTTTATTAATTTATGAATTATTCATAAAGTTAATTCGAAAAGTGAAAGCGAAGTTATAAATTAGAAGAGCATCATCATATAAACATACATATATAAATATAAATACTTAATAGCGAATAAATATTTTATAATGAATAAATGAAGATGCAAAAAATAATATTTTACATAAATATTAATACGAAACATATTTACAAAAGGCATAAATAATTATAAAAGCAAAACAAAAAAACAAATGAATGTGAAAAAAATAGAACAAAATTAAGCTAAAAAAAAACTTAAAATAACATTTTGTACTTTATAATAAAACAGGTACAATGTAGTGTTTTAGCTTTTGATGATGCGTAAGAATAGTTAAGGTATAGTTTCACTAAATAATTTAAATAAATAACAATAAATTAATTCTCAAAATTTGAGGTCCGTTAGACTTAGTACCTAATTTGGAATATCTTAGGTTTAATTGGAGTATGCACTGTAGGCGAGATTCTGTGCATCTTGAGACCTTCCCCATCCACCGTGACCACTACCATGGCTGAAGTGTTCATCATGATGAGGATGGGCAACCACTTCGTAGCTCTCGTGATGTTCATTTTTAGATAATAATTTCTTGAGTAATAGAAGAGCGGATGCAAGTAACGCGGCTTTAGCCAGCATTAATCCCTTGACTGCTGCAAAGGCTATGATGCCAAGGAAGAGTGGAATGAGAGATTGGATTTTCAACTGCAGAAGGGCAAAGATGGGAAGGAGTTGTTTCAACTTCTTCTTCTTACCACGGCCTGAAAAAAGGATAACATAACGTTATTATTAAAACTATAAAGTCGACACGGAATTAAAATATATTAATAGTAAAAATAGCCTATGTCACCCGGGGATAGTATAACTTCCCAAGTATAAATTAATTTTTCAAATCGTTTTAGTAGTTTCGGAGTCTATTCAATGCAACCAATCACATCATAAAATCTCTCTTCATTATAATGTTAGTATAGATTATAAAGAAAGGTGTAACAGTTGGTGTAATTTACAGTTAAGTTATTAAGACATAGCTTAATATAAAGCTTATTTGTATTTTGTTTAGCACCAAAGGCAAACTAATTTTAGAGACAAATATCAACATAGTCTAAAGGCTACGATCAAACTAAAGACTTACATCCACTCTCACAGACATTAAGTGGATAGAAAGACGACCCTTAGTGTTTTTCATTTTATTACATAAACGAATATCAAAGGACTGTTCAAATAGCCATCGAATAACTCAGAGTAGCACTAATACAAGTATTAATTTTTAATCTATTAAAACTTGTAATCATTCAATGAGACTAAATGTTTCGTAAAAAATACTCTAGACTATATGCAAATTAAATAAAAAGTAGAATAAAAGAAAGTTTTATGTAAACATTGTCACGATTCAATTCAAAAGCGATAAATATATTCGTCTTGTTAATTTCTAATTCCAATTACTAATTTGAATATAAGAAAATGCAATTCGAATTTCAAAAGACAAACGTCAACTGAAATTTAAACAGTTACATTGAAATTCACAATGTTACGTCCAGTTTGCATAACAACCTCGTTTATCTAGAAAGCTGCATCGATTACTGAGCGTTACAATTCGAAAGCTTTCCAAGCCTACCATATTTCGTCTGAGATATCGCCTCAAGCAACTTTTACCTACAACAGAAAGAGCGGAAATCTCAAACGAGTTAAATAGTCCCACATACAGCAAAAACTAGATGTAGGTACAGCTTTCAACTATAATGAGACGTGTTAATAGGTCAGAGAAATCCCCATGTTTAGATTTCTAGACACATCTTCTAGCCTTGATTACTGATATGGACATTGTAAAAGAAAATCTTTGAATTTTTAACATTTCTTAACATGCAATTTCTACTCTTATTGTAGGTTTAATTAAAGAATTTAATTCACTACCCACTTAGCATCGAATATCTTACACAAAACTATCATCAGATATATAAATTAGGACGTATATTACTGTCTCTAGTCGGTCTCTCTCTACCAACCCATTTCTCTGGTCTGTGACTAGTGGGTTGGTAATTAATTTCCTTGATTGTACTGCACTGATTCAAAATGATAAAGAACTTTCTATTTTAAAGGTTCACAGCGGGCAGGTTGATGTGTTTTTTATTAATATTCAAAGTGGGTGTTATGAGCAGCAGAATTATACAAGTGCGGTTATATAATAACTGGCCGTTAACATTTTACGCCTACAATTTGTTCTAAAAGTAATCGTACCAAAAACCATACATGTCGTGTCGATAATCGGTTGAAGTGGGAATCGAATTTAGTACTTTGAGTGCATTTTTTAAATTAAATATATGAATCATCAGCTCACTAATGTCCCCACCGAGGGGTTAAGAGCCTAACCTAAGTTAAGCGTGACAAGGCCAATATATGTATATCAAATGTTATTTTATCTCAGTCTATATTTTTTTCTAAGATTGTCACTAAGTTAATAATCAACAGGAGCATTCTGAAACAGGTATTATATACTTAAAAGGTTGCTCCAACGATTCATGTATATTTATATGTTTTTTGGTTTAAATAAATTATTATTATAAAAAAAACAGGTAAGAACTTACACTATACTTAACTTAATAAGACAATCGAGTACACTATAATCAAGGCATTATATATATTAATCCATATCGATATTTAAAGTAAAATGGATTACTTTCTTATACACTTTTAAAATAAAATTTTATTAACACTTTGTTCCTTTGCTATTTGTCTTGACTATGACTATTGTTATTATTTGTTTGACTTCCCGGTTAATGATTGAGCTGCAATTTTGTACATACGTGTAAATCGCGTTAATGACAAGATCATAAAAATTGCTTTTAACTTTTTTTTTTTAATTTTTATCATCGATTTTAAGAATTGATTCAAAGATAAATCGTAAAATTAATTGACCTGACATTCTTTCTACGTCTTACGGTGCGTTTCCACTATATTGTTATCTCTGTTATAACAATATTGCTTACTCTTTAATTCTATATAAAAATGAAAGAGAGAACAATCTATTCTTATGCAAATGACAAGACAATGAAAATCCACGATTATGTAAAATATAAAGTCTATGTCATATATCTAGAGAATTTAATACAAACACTAAAAAATAATATGTTTTTAGTAAAGACTAACGGATTTGCTAAAATATTTAATAAAATATTACGTAATTAAAAAAGCGATAGTAAAAAGACAGAACCATTTTATTAAGTGTCTTATAGATAAAAATTTAATGTTCACTTTCATTTTATTTACATTAGGTCTAACATCTAGGTAACCGTAGGTTTCCATTACCGAAACATTTGCATAAACAATTTGTTAACTCTTTTTTTTTCAAAGAGAAGAAAAGAGATGAAATTTCTACGTGTGTTTTTGTTCAAGTTAGTTAACAATCGTAGCTACACGGTCTCATAGTTTCGTAATAAAATTAATTTATTATTAAAAAAAGAAAGTCGCGATTCTGATGGATAACGAGTTACTATGAGATATCCAATTAAAAACGGTATAGATGACTTTCAAGATCTTGTTCAAATAATTCAGTGAACATAAATAATTATAATTAATTGAAACTCTACTTTATAACAATCTAGTATAGCGTGAAACATAACATAATTATAGATAGGACAGTAAAAAAAATCATGACTTGTTAGTACTAGTTTGACATGTATTTGAAGTATACAGATAGTTAAATGATTTTTATGCCCGCTCTATAATTTAAATCTCTTTGTAAATACTAATTAATAATAAGTGATAAAAATTACGTTAAGAATTACCGAATTATGGAACGTATTTAAAATCAGTCTATAAATAGTGACAAGAAATGCATCTAAAATAAATATTTTATACTAAAAAAACTATATGTAAATATTATCAAATGTTTGATTAAAAAAAATGTCAAAACTGCGTATGTAAGCAAAAAATAAGTGACGTCTATTTCTATTGTCATTTGTCAAATATGACGTTTAAAAAATCTAATATAATCTGTAAATATCACATATTATTACTTCATGTTTTTTTTTCAATTTAATTTAATATAATACTTTTTAATTGCATTAATAAATGATAAGAAATATTTAAAGCAATCTTTGAAAAATCTGTTATTAATTTTGCAAATAAAAATATAAATCGCTTAGCTAATGCTGTCATGATAAATTTTATTTTTAATTATTAAACTTTGAAACATATATTATTAAAATTATTAGATGTAAATTATTTTACTTGCTTTATAAAATGTTTTTTATCATTTGTCAAAAAGGTAATTTAATAGAAAAAGTTAACAACAAGACTATTGTTGAATAAAATAATAAATAAAATCATGATAACTAACCTTCCTCAAGTGACCTTTTGACGTCTTCAACCGCGCCCTTTGGTACTCTCAACTGTATGACATGGTTCTCGAAGAAGTCAAGGGCGGTATCAATAAGTCTGCCTTCTACCTGGTTCTCTCTGGCCCTTGGTTCCTCGGATAAAGGTTCAAATGACCTCGCCGACCTTGAAGATCCAGTTCCAATGAGGCTGATCCCATCAGTGATGCTTACTTCTCTAGCCGCTGCCAAATTCTCTGCGTATTTGAGTGCTCGTTCCTGTTATAGAAAAAAATTAATATAATTAATATTAATCTATATTTCAGTCTAGTTAATACATTAATGTGATGCTGATATATTTAATTATTTTAAATAGTGTAATCTTTAGTTAGAAATAAAGTACAATGGTCTATAAAACCACTTTAAACTATGTTACATGCACTTAGTTCCGATGTAGGTCAAAAGCTACTTATTACGAACAATGAATCCATTGTTTAAACACTTCACAATCACACACCTTGAGGCACAAAGAAACATCTTCTTCAGCACAATTCTTCACCACACCGATGACTGAACCTACGACATCTTCATCACCGGTCGGTTTCGCGGCTGTTACACCTAAACACACGAGTGCTAGAAGGATCGCCTTCATTGTAACTATTCCGTAGCGATGTTACAGAGTGTAAAGCCTGGAGTGTACGATGTTGTTTTTATTTGACGTATCCCCACTGCGGATCTATTCCCGCCAAATTGCGTACGCGCGTAGAGTATTGAAGGGAGAGATGTATGCGATACAATTGTAGAGTACGCACGACTAACATTGACTACATTATTACTCTGTGCATGATACGATAGACATTGTTTGTAAAAAGGATTTAATTTGAAAAGAAATAAATAATATCAATTAATAATTAATTTAATTAAAATAATAATTTTAATATTTCTTGTTTACAATGTTTAAATATGTTGTGATTTTAAATGTGTTTTAGTTTTATTCGCGAATAATATTTGATATACTTTCATGTTAGGGGAAAGTTTTGTTTTAGAAATATGTGTTTTAATTATTTGATTCTGTAATCATGAAAGTGTATCATGCGCTAGATTAGAACACTTTGATTTGCAAAACGGATTTGCAAACTTAATTTATTTTTAATATTGTATTCTTGAGATATTTTTTTTATTGTTGACTTTATATATTTCTAGTAAAGTTATGAAGATCTGAAATGTTATGAAGTCCTAAGTACACAATAATATTTATTGATTATATGATATTATTATTAGGTAAAGTTATATACTTTAACTGTATTTCCCCAAAAAATGCACTGTTTTAACATGTGTTTTAAACCTTTGACCGCCACTGTTTGATATTACTGACGTCAAAGTCGTTATATGGTCCACCATTAGTATGTACTAATACACTTGTTTTTTTAAAGTACTTTATAATTTATCGATTACAGTAATAATGTTTCAATAGCCATGATTTGTTAAATATCCTCGCTGTGCGTTGGTCACGGTATAAAAGGATGGACATTTTAAGCTTATCACCACCTCAAAGGCTGGCAACACTGCGGTTCCTCTGGTATTGCTGATGTCCATGGGCGTTGTTGAACACCTCGGTGTTCCCGATGTTCGTTTGCCCCATTCTGTTACAAAAAAAAGTTGGAACATTAAGTTTTTTTCATGTAATTACGATGGCCTACTAAGTTATGTTTTTCTATATATTTTATGATATCTTTCTATAAATGCATTGTAACAGTAAAAAGGATTAAATGGTATTTAATTTTAATTTTCATTTCATTTTAATTTTTTATAGTAAGGCCCTAAAGATTTATTTAGCCAACCAATTGTAAATGTTGTGTTATAGACCATTTTTTCCTTCTACACTGTTTATGTTATACAAATAACTTATTAGGAACTTATCTTTTTTTTTATATCATAAGGTGGCAAACGAGCGAGCGGACACCTGTGTTCATATAGATTCAAATGTGTTCCGATGTGAAATGCTCCGCACACTAGTGAAATTACACTAACTAGACTAGGTTAATGCCTCAAGGCTTTAAACGTAATGACGCAGGATTTTATTTTCTACTAGCTATCGCACGCGATTCCGTCCGCGCGGGATAATAAAATAGATGTTGGCCGATTCTCAAACCTACTCAATATGTTCACTAAATTTCATGAGAATCGGTCAAGCCGTTTCGGAGGAGTAAGGGAACGAAAATTGTGACACGAGAATTTTATATATAAGATTACTATAATTTTCATATTACGATCATCTTGTTTAGTATGCTGTATGATGTTTATACATTTTTATAGATGTTTCGATACCGTTACTGAATTAAAATAAAATGACACAATTTCTGTACAACATACTAAAAATATTAAGAATCAAGTCAGATGAAAAAACGACAAATTCTCTGTCAGTTTTATCCTTAAGTGCAAACAAGTATTGCCCACCTTTTAATCGACGAAAGAGGGAACGCAGAGAAAAATGATGTTTCCCCTACCTATGCGTCATATCCTCTGTCAAATTCATATGAGAAAAGGGAACAATATTAAGCCTCAGGCACCCACACTCGGATATATTATAAATGCGAATATTTCAATGTTTCTTTGTTCAAACGTATCTCCAGAACGGCTGCATGGATCTCGCTGAAATATAGCATAGATGTAGAACATAGTCTGGTACACATATGCTACTAATTAAGTTTTTATTAATCTCGCACGAACGGAATCGCGAGCGACAGCTAGTTGGCATTATAAAGTTTGGATCCGGTATATTTTAATATGCAAACATACATATGACTATAACTTTCCTTCATTATTTATTTACTTATATTTTTAATCTCGCGTACAATAACCGTAACGCTATGGCTGGATTAATGTTAGCGAGAACAGTTTCATTGTTTTATGTTTGCGTGAAATTTGTTAGACTTGATTATAATATTTTGCATACTTTAAATAACGTATTACTATCGTTATGATAATTTATATAATTAAAGATTAAAAGTTCTGTCTTAATTATTTTATTACGAAATATAGGATACGTTAAAACATAGTTTTAGACATTATTAGTTAGAATCCTTTGGCGCGTATACCGCGCTTTCGTTACAAAGTCAAGTGTCATAATCATTAGTGAGGGGACATAAACGTCGACATTTTAGCAAGGTTAGTGTTGTGCCAGTACACCATCACAGTGTCGGATTTTCTTCCCAATTATAGTAATCAATCTTACTATCTTACTTCTTATTTATAATATTATTGGATGGATGGTTCGAAGGTATCTCCAGAACAGCTGAACGGGTCTTCATGAAATTTGGCACAAATGTAGAACATAGTCTGGAAGAGTATATAGGCTACTATATTGTTTTTATTTTTTTTTAATTCCGCACGGACGGAGTCAGAACACGATTAGTACATCGTGCGGAAAGAAGTCCAATTAAATATTTCTGTCTGTTTAATGTATGTTTGTAGGCAAATCTGCATTTATTTCGAATAATCTCCGAAACAGCTATACTAATTTTGACTAGATTTTACTTGAAGCCAGCTTATGTATGATAGTAACTTAGGCTTTTTTAAATTCTATGCAAACGAAGTCGTGGACCACTGTTAATGTCAATTGTCACAGCAGTAGAGTCCTACGCTATTATTAATATATTCACGAAACTGCTTAATCTCAAGTCATGCGTTTTTTACACTTAAGTAAGTGTTATATACTTAATTGTTTAGTTTCTAATGTTATATAATGTGCGTGAATTCGCATCGTAACACGTTTTACGTCTAACAAATTTCTATTTTAAGTTGTGCTTAGTCATCGTATGTGAGTTTTACTATATATTACTTTTTTATGTATATTCATTTCTTTTTGTATATTATTTAGTTTTATTTTTAGTTTGGTTTAGTTTTAGTATATAGTATATTTAATATAGTATAAATTAATTCATCTGTATTAGGTAATTTATTATTATTATTTTAGTATATATACATTTATTTATAATATTTTTAATATGGTAAATATCATATCAAAAAAAAACATATAAAACACATTATATTAAAAACAGTACACCACCGGCTGCGGAACCCCATGACTCAAACAACTATTATTTTAGTTATTATTAACGTTGTTTCTTATGAAGTTATTATAAAATATAAAAATTATTAGTTGTAAAAAAATAGCACAAAAAAATAAAATAAGTTAAATAAAATACGTCAATAGACTAAGTTGGTAATTAGTCTGAGTTAGTATATTGGAATCCATTATTCGAATATTCTCTTATCATCAGAAAACTATTTGAAAATTATTTTCATAATACTAAAATAGAAAATAAACGATAAATTACTTCAAATCAACTATCTTTAATTACGAAAAAAACGTAAGTAAACGGCCAGACATACTGGCGCGTAACACCAAGGCTTAGTATAAATTTATAAACACAATCGTGTTTACACTGCCGAAATATATATCAAAACATATTGCCATCCCTGTTCCTCGCTATGAAAGAATAGAGATAGCAATATGTTAAAGGAAGTCAGTGGAAACTGTAGTCTTTGTAGGCTGAGCTATTTAATAAATGCTTGAGGCGATAATTATTTTAAGCTTTTTCATTTCATTAAACGTTTAATAGAAACTCGTTTTTTAACGATGGAATTTCTTTCATAGTAACGATTTCGTGACCTCATTTGGTTTCTCTTACACTTATAGTGAACATTCAAAAATATATTTCAAAAATTTCTACTCAGATCAAATGGAACTAAAAATCCCATTTTATTAAAGAAGGAAAATGCTTAACTCATGGAGAGTTAAATTAGACTTGAACTTATATCTCCTTCGTATTCTATAGCAGTTTACTAGTTTTTACCTGCGACTTGGACCGTGTGAAATTAAAAAAAAATGTAATAATTAGTCTATGTTACTCAGTGATACCTTTCTAGTAGTAAAGAAGTTTTTGAAATCAGTCCAGTAGTTCGTAACATAATAATAATAATAATAAAAAAATTCTCTTGGGCTCTGCGTTTGGTCTCGGACCATGTCAGACCGATTGCCTTCATGTCGACAGCTACTGAGGGCCGCCAAGTTTGAATATATATATATAATATTAATATAGATTTATTCTTCTTAACAAAATTTTAATAGATGCTAATAAGAGAAAATAATGCTATACTTACGGAGCGTCAGTGGCTCAGGAGTCAAGCACTTTACTTGCGATCTGCAGGTCCTGAGTTCGAATCCCGCCATGTACCAATGTGTTTTTCAATTTCTGATTTACATATGTACATTTATCCGACGTTCTAACGGTGAAGGAAAACATTCTGATGCAACCTGCACATATCTGAGAAGAAATTCAAAGATATGTGTGAAGTCAACCAATCCACACTTGGCCAGCGTGGTTGACTATGGCGTAGTTACCCCTAACTTGGGGTAGGCCCCGTGCCCCTCGGTGGGGACATATAGTGAGCTGATGATGATGCATGCTATACTTACACTAACAAAACATTTTCAATAATATCTTAGTAAAATATATTATACAATAAGACAACTCTTATTTAATAAAATGTAAATAAAGTCAAACGTAATTTTAATATTGCATCCGTTAAATACTTTCTTCATAATTCGAACGAAATGATCACGCGATATGTCGATCGTTCGTTAATTTAGCGAGTAATAAA